TCTAGCGTCTTCTCTCTACCCTCCAATGCTGGAGCTGACTCATCTACGTCGTGGCCGTCTACTGGTGCTGCATCTGCCACGACTACCATTGCTAATCAACTTGGTCGCGGTGCGTTCGTAGCTGGCGCTGGTTCACCTGGTGCTATTATGGGGACGTGAAACTATATGCTTAAGATTAAGCTTACTCATTTACATCCGATTTTCAAGGAGCTTGACTTGATGGCTAATCCACAAATTCGTCTTCGTTTCCGCGTTAACCAGGGCACTTCAGCTATTGATGTTGATGCATCGAGAAATATGACGCTAACGGGAACAACATTATCGAGTGGCAATGTATGTCCAGTAATGGTTGCTTCTGCGACCAGTCCAAACCAAATGTACAATGCTCTTAGTGTCGCTGGTTCGATTGCAGTTGCTTGGGGTGCTGTGGTTAACTCGCTTGAGCCTACAATTGATGGAACCTACATGCCTTTCACGACTTCTCGACTGTATGTTCCTTTCGTTCATTTGGAGAACCCTTAGGCTATCATCTCTAAGCCCGTAAAGAAGGTTCGATACAACGATTGCTATGCCCAATGGTTCTACCAGCGCGCTGGTATAGATAAGCAGTCGACTCAGCTTAATGCTGCATTTGATCTTCGGCTTTCGGCTTCTGTCAAGAATGCTAAGTATGTTATCCTCCTTCCTTTTGCCGAACAGACCGGTAGTTTTGCTTCTGCTGCTGTCCAAGAGTTTCAGAGTCCTTTCGATTCGGCTCCTTGGACTCTTCACCCTGGTTCGAGCATTCGCAACTTCAACGTCCGCATTGGTTCGCAACAGACCTTCGACATCAGCCATGACTATGACTTCCACCACTTTACCAACGAGATCGCTAAGATTGCTAAGATTAACGGTGATCTAACTCCCGAGCTGGTGAATGGTCTTCTTGACTATCAGACGTGGTCTCTAACTAACCGCGTCCTTATCGCTGACGTTAGCCGCCTGACGGAGCGTGATGTACCTCAGGCTATTCAGGTTCAGGGTGTCAACGCTGGTTGCCAGGGAACAAACATGCTTGTTTTGGTTGTGTCCGAACAAGAACTAACGCTGGATCGCTTAACCGGGGAGATTTTAGAGTACTCTACAGCGTAAGAAAAAAAACTGAGTATCCTAATGGTGATCAGCTAACCATTTGAGATGTGCTTCTGATTAAAAAATATTCTTTTACTTAATCTGTAAAGCTTCGACAAGCTTAGAGCATTTCTCAATTACGAATGGATTCTTACGGAGCCAATCGATATAATTAGAGTCGATGCGACTAATCTGCTTCAGCGTCTTCCCCTTGTACTTGCCCCAACTCATCATATACGAATTATCATTGCTAAGAAACTTGGAGTGAAGGAAAATCTTGATATCCTCAGTAATATTGAGACTTGGTTGGTTGTGCATCCAGCGACAATAACCAGGATCGGAAGTGAATACTTCTTCGATCGGCGTGCCCTTGTATTTTCCAAAAGTTAGTTCGTTCGACATGTTATCAGCTATGTGTATCTATATACATAGGGTGTTAACTTTTTTTTGAGAAAAATAAATTAATTCTGAAATTCAGACGAAACCAACTGTTGTTAGATCTCAGTGGTCGAGCTGATCTGAAACCACCCTAAGATCGAAAAGACGTCGAGGTTGCGTCGTCGAAATGGCAGCTGGTCTGAAAGAAGGTTCCAGGAATGTTCTTGGTGGTAAATTACGGTAAGGAAAAAAACTGGCGGCGTAATGTTCCGGATATTACTACTCACCAGATCGTGCTGCTGCCGGAGCCCCTGTGGACGACTAACGACAAGGAAACCAAGTACAACCCGCTGGCTTTCCTCGAGAATGAGGGATTTACGACCCAGGAGGACTTCACCGCCTGGCGCAAGGAGAACGGCTACAAGTCGCTGCGTGATTTCATGGACAGGGCCAAGTACGACGTCACCAGCGGCGCCGACTTCTCCTGTGGCTTCACCGACCCCAAGGGCACCCCTCAGCCCATTCCGGAAGGTAACAAGATGCGCTCTACCGGCTACACCCACGACGGCCCGTGCGAGGTGTGGCTCGACGACACGATGGTGCTGGATGGCGACAACTGCCACGAGAAGTTCCCGGGCAAGGACTACACGGTGGACTACTCATCGTGCAAGGGCACGTGCACGCTTCGCTGGTACTGGCTGGGAGTGCGTTTCTTGAAGAATGACTACTCGTGGCAGGTGTACAAGGCTTGCATCCCGCTGACGTCGGGATCAATGGCGTCGACTGGATCGCAGAAGAATCTGCGTGACTGAGTTCGGCGTTAGAATTATACTTGAGTTAAGTGGCACTCCAGTTTCCAATTCAATGGTATGTTGTTCGCGTAAGATTTCCCACTCAACCGACGCAGTTGCTGGAATGTCGGCGTGGCCACATTGCATCACCTTCTTATCGTCTGTGACAAATATCACAGTGGATTGGAGCATAGTGGCCTCCTACGTGTGCCAAACGGAAAGCGCGAGACCAAGAAGACATGATGGGATGGTAAAGCTAGGTAGTACTCTGTTACAGTAATTGGCAGATTCCGGACCGGAATCCGGAAACCTGTCAAACCTGCAACAGAGACACACTGGCGAAACATAAAAACACTCACGCCAATCAGCGTCCACTTATTCATTCCGGACGGCGATGTCTATTGTAACTTTTCACCTTACTTTTCTAATGCCAGTTTTCTTCAGCACGCAGGGCGGATGGCGGGCGGCACGGATTGCAGGGCGGAGAACTGGGCGTTGGGGCGGGGCAATTGCGGAACAGGCACGCCGCGATGTCGGTAATGCGGGTAGTCTACAGTTACGTCCGCCATGCGAGGAGGAGCAAGGCAGGTCACGGTGCGCTCCATCCACGTGAGGCACTCCCTAAGATCAGCCCCCACTACGCTTTTTGACAAAACTTTAGTCCGACACAAATTACATATTAACCCTTTCACTACCAGACATTTCTTTGCAGGTCCGGTGCGGACCTATTAGTTGACCAATGAGAGGACATAATTTCAAATTAATCAACCAATCGTGGGGCCACTAGCGGCCACGTTAAGCGGACACCATACCGTAAGCGCATGTAATGCGAGACTATTTAGTAGCTTCCGACTCCACGCACTGATGTCCGCTTTGCTTAGCACGGATCAAAAGGAGCCCGAAAGAGCAACAAGTGCATGATGATGCAGACCTTTCTGCGATCTTCCTTGCAGTAATCGACCTTTTCAGCTACAACATACTGCATCGAGGAATTGACCACAAGTGTGCAGGGAGGTGATATCGACAGCGGGCTTCCCGCTAACTGCAGCGGGGAGCGAGGACAGGCGCAGCAGTACTGACAAACGTTGGTACAATACTAACGTACAATGAACGGCTTCCATACATGTAGGTAGCCTACCTGTAGCTAGCTATCTGGGGTGTAAGTATGCGGGGAGCTGGCTTGAGTCTTCGCTATGAGCAGTGGTCGGTTGTGTCTTGTTTTACTAAGTCTCACCAGTAAGTTCCACCGGCAGTCATTCACACTTAGGCATGCGTTTCGGTACACTAATATATGCACGCAAGAATGATATCGGTAGACCTCAGTATAGGCGTGAAAGCTAGGTAGAAGTACATGCGAAACCCATATTCATGATCATTATCGTCAGCTGTAAAATACCTTGCGATACATGTAGAAAAAAAGACAAAATAGTGGCGACTGCAGGCTCATGAGAGGCCAACCAAATGCATGACACTCTATTGATAATGCGGATGCATGATCTACCCAAGCAGATTGATGATCTAACCAAACTGATCGATGATATACCCAAGCGGATCGATGATTTACCCAAGCGGATCGATGACACTACCGAAGCGGATCGATGATCTTCCAAAGGGAATCGATGACAACCTAAGCGGATCTAAAATCGTGCTTACGTCTTAGTATGCAGCTTATGACAGTGAGTACAAGTATTGCACTGTTGTGGTCGACTTGCCTTCAGAGCTGGTGGAGCTATCGACAGTGCAGTACGCTCGCGAAGCAGTTCTTGTCTGGGGCTCCAAACAGGAAGCCCATACGAACTACATGTATGCTAAAAAGTACCAACGCTTGTCAAAATATGCAAATCGATCCCAAGAGCATACTTCTGTACCAGCAGCCCGTTTTTGGTTTTTGTACGGCTAATATAGGAATTTGTACGTAGCCCCGCTGCAGTTAGCGTAGCGGCCCGCTGTCGATATCACCTCCCAAGTGTGCATCATATTGGCTACGATTGGGAGAATGTACATGTATATTGATGTCGCTCTCACACAAAACACTGCTGCATACATGTACACTGCAGCGGCCCATTGCTGTGTCATTGCTGGCCAAGGGCAGACATCCGCTCGAACCAAGTCAATGCCCACCACCTGGCGGGTAACCGCTCTGCGTATTTTGAGTGGGAATGTGCAGTCGTCCATTGCAACGCTCGCAAGACCATTACGTACTGTACAGCTACGACGGCAGCAAGATTTGCATGGCACGCGCAAAGCATAATGTACACTATACATTACAGTTCGTTGTTAGCGAGCCATTACATTTTTGGACTCATCCACTGTGACCAATGTCCCTTGTCCCCGTGCGAAGCTGAGCTCAAGGTAGAGAGCAACCTGGCCATTCGGCAGTGCTTGTCCAACGTTAACCCCAGGAGCTGGTTACCGAATTTGTTTTGTAGAGGGATACACCCACGTATGGGATACAGGATAGTATTAGCCAATCACAATTGTGTCTTCAGATTGACAGGGCTTGACTTGTTGAGGGATACACCAGTTTCAAGCCAGTAATTTTTGCACTCTCGGCCGCTCAGCGCGCGATCATTTCTGCAACGGCGTGGGCGCCACCAAGTCACCCTCGCCTGTCTGGAGGTCGAGGCAGGTGGAAAACGACGCGGGCCCTACCATTTTACACTGCTGCAATGAAGAAGGCTATGGTCGAGCACCTGAGACTACACTGCAATGTTTGTTTCGCTGAAGATACGTTCTTTCCGGGTCTACCTACAGAAAAGTATCAAGGGGGAAGAGTGGTGGTGGGGGTGCTTCTGTCGGCGGCAGGAACAAACGCAAAGCTTGCTCTCGGCATAGCCCCTTCAATTGACGCTGCTTGGGGCATCCTGGTACGATGCAGGTGACGCCACCGCCGTGTTAAAAGCAGTAGCCCCTCTTGTCTCCGTAGACAGATCCCTGCTTGCTGCATCCTGGTTCTTTGCAGAGGACGGGGCTTTTGTAGTCGCGCTGGACGTCCTTTTCGCCATTGAATTCCGTGGCCTCCACTTGCTCAACACTCGACTCGTCCTCGGAGTGGGTGAATGATGCCACGCTACTTCCTCTCGAGATCACTGAGCTGCCGTCTTGGGCTCGGTGAAGGACGCAGTACTCGCTCGGGTCTCCATCTCTCATCACCCACTTCATACACCCAAGCCACTTGCACACGCTGTGGCGACGATAACGACGATCGGTAGCGCGGATGGTCTCATGCGGCTGCGCTTGACTCGATGCTTCGGCTGCGTGATCTCCATCCAGTTCCTCTTCATCCAAGTGCTTATCGCAGTAGTCGAGTTGGACCCACACCTTTTGGTTCTTCGCGCTCTTTCCATTACCGTCGTATTCAGCAGTGTGCAGATCATTCGTGTCGCTGGATACGGCGCGTTTGCGATGAAAAGCTCGTACAGCAGCCCTCCGGTTACAACCAAGAGCATAGCACACCTGATATCCGCCGTGAGCGTAGCAGAAGCCGTTCGCTTGAGCCGTGTTGGTGCAGTCTGACAAGAGACAAGTTCCATCTTCAAAGTCCTCGTCTTGCCACTCGTGCTCGGAGGAAGCGATGACCACAGCCTCAGCCTTCTCAATGATGCCACCGTCCCCAATGCCTCTGACCATCTCCATCTCTACGCCAGCGTCTTCAATCTCCATTCTGCTGCCATCACTTTCGTCGCTCGAGCCCACGATCTCATCCACCAGACGCCCAGATGTATTTATCAAAATTACTAAACTGAGCACTCTACCTCAAGTCTCTCAAAGCCGAATCTCACCAATGCGGCTGCCGACACAGCCCAACTTATTAGCTTGTTCGCCGCCACCACCCCAACTTGAGATCGAAGTTCAGTAGAAGAAGAAAAAACAGTAAGACCACCACCAGGATTTTAATGGCCAAGGCCAAATAAAGTCACTTACTACTACATTTTTGGACTCAATTTCCGGTTATCGCATGCGTACAGTGTGCACATCGGCACTCTAAGAATCTTATGGAAGGAGCTCAAGGAAGGAGCGTTCGCGCTATCGAACCAAGGGTACGGCATCCGATTTCATGAGGCCGGAGTGTACATGTTATGCGTGAAAGTGTACCTCACACCACAGCAGAGCGGAGGCCACATCTTGGTCTGCAAGAACGGCAGATGCCTCGAGTGGGACCGCGTGCCGCTGCACGCGAAGCGCAAAACGAGCATCTCGCTGGTTCAAGTGGCTCCATTTGAGGCGAACGACGAGCTGACAGTCGAGGTCACGCGCCGGCCACACGATGTCGAAGTTGCGGCGACTGCTGCAAAGATTGGGAGTTAAGCGTAATGATGTGAGGACGAGGGCGCGGATGCTGCTAGTGACTTTCATTTTGGTTGTCTGATGTTTTAGTAGCGTGTTGTGTTCGTTTTCCTCCTTTTAATGCCGACTTCTTTTTTGTTGTACATTGGATGCAGTTTCATACTTCCAGTGCTTTACATTACCTGTATTCGCTGAGGGCTCCATTTCCAGCAAGGAATTGCACCAGATACGCTCGCAAGAGGCGAACCGAGTTGAGCGCTCAGGCGTGGACTACGAATGTAAAGAAGAAGACGGCACAACTGCCGACTACGGACCCTGCGCGGCGGTGAGTCGCGTGCTTCGCTTCAAACAGATCGACGAGTCCGCCATAATGAACGTCACCACTGGGTACGTTCATGATTCACCACGACATTGCTGGACTCGGCGGTGTAGATGGAGGCATCTTGGAGCAACTTCAACCGCCCAGATTCTCACACGTCACATATTCCATTCTGTGTACATTGATTATTTACGTACACGACACTAGATCCTGTTCAGTATGCATTTTCCGTCGAAGAAAATGGGCCGAAATGAAGAATTACGTCGAGAGGCGCCACTACTGGCTATTCGACTCCAAACCCTAGTTTATGGGGCTGCCCCACATCCCCACCACCGTCTCTCTCTAAATACGCGGACGCTTCCGTGGAGCTAGCTGCAGCTGAACAAAGCGTGCACGTTTGGGTCTCTCCGCCTTCTGGATCGGATCTGGAACAGTACCGAAGAGTTTGTTCACTCTACCAACGAGTACAGTCGGGGCGACAATTTCACCCTTCGGAGGTTCATCCGTACAGACCCTCACTATCGACAATATCAATTTTCATTGTCTCTTGCCGTGGCTCTGAGACTTGAAAATCTGGAAATGGTCAAGTGGCTGTCGAGCAAGTTTCCTGGTTGCCAAGTGAAAGACGGCCCAGCGATGCTTCAGGCCATGCTCACGGGCTGCAAGAAGGACGGGTTTCTGCGATTTCTGTACGAGAAAGACAGTAATTTGCACCACGAATTGGCTGGGGTGGGGCACCCCGTTGAGTGGAGGAGTTCGATCATGTCGAGGGCTGCAGCTTGCGACCTGGTCTGGTGGATCCACCGCCACTTCCCACGGGAGCTGCACGACTTGGACAAGACTTTGGATGAAGCAGTTCGTGCCGCTGACATTGCATTGGCAGAGTGGCTGCTGTCACGTGGAGCTAGGTGGATACGGAGAGAGGGGAACATTCAGCTCGCTCACTTTGTTGCGCTAAAAGGGTGGCTTGATTTGGTGCAGTGGCTAGAAGAGCAAGACCAGGTCGGTGAAGCTGATGGGCTCATCGTCGTGGCTGCTGAAAATGGGCACCTAGAGGTTGTGCGCTGGGTGATCGATCGCGTTACGAGAAGCGGGAGTAACGTATTGCTCAACAAGATTAAAGCGGAAGTGGGTATCTCTATTCATGGGGCCGCTGCACTTGGATGTTGCCAAGTACCTTCGAGCGGCTGAGATGAAGGAAAGAGCTGGGGATACTCTCCCGTGTCGTCTTGATGTTTGTCCCGCGCTGTTCGCTCCGTTCGCTAAAGCAGCGTTTGTGTCCGGGAAGACCATGGCGGAGGCGGCGAAGAATGGACACTTAGACGTCGTCAAGTGGCTGTATGAAGACTCTTCATTGAAGAGTACGGCGACAACTGGGAGATCGACTTGTTCGAGTTCGGCGACAACTTGGAGATCGACTTGTTCGTTTACGGCGAGATGGCAGCGCGGGGCAACTCGATTGACGCTGTAGCGATGGATGCAGCAGCGAACCAAGGGCACCTAGACGTGCTAGAATACTTGCACGAGCTGGGAAGGTCTGTTACGACGAGCAAGAAACGGAAACGGACAATTGAAAGAGAAAAATTACGACCAAGATGCACGTCAAACGCCATGATCGGTGCGGCTCGCAACGGCCACATGAACGTCGTCGAAGAGGGGAAAAAAGGTCAATCCTAACAGTTGGTCACGGTTATGATGGTCAAATAGGTCACACATCAGGACGCTTGGTCACGTGACCAAACTTAACAGATCACACCCATTGATGTAGACGGTAAGATGCGCGCACGCCCGCATGAGAAAGAGAGCAAAATGCATATGCAGCTTCGAAGCGGACGAGGGTCCACTTCTCTTCAGCCTGAAGAATTCAGACATCATACAAGTTTTCTCAGTACACACGACACCTCCCTCAATGCTTTCGTACTCTGTCAGCGCGGTTTCCTACAGGACACGACGTGCTGCTTGCTGCTGTGTTACAGTATAAGCTGGCTAAGTGCTGCACTATGGGCTGCCTATCATCTTGCACAGCGTGCTTGCTTCTAGTAAAACTACCATGTTGCGCTGCAAGTCCTTACCATGCTAAAATGTGTGCTTCCTACCATTTACACTGCAAGAGACCGCCTACCATGCATGTTGCACGGGCAGTAGTTACATTGCTAAACAGTGAGCTGCTACCACGCGTGTGTGATGCTCGTAGTATGAGCGCAGATCGCAATACCCTAGATAGTGGAGGTGGTGCTACCTACCATGTTGCAGTACGAGCACCGTACAAAGTCACCACGCTCGCATTCAGCGCTTGAGCTCATGGACTCAGCGTCACGTAGCGTTATCTCGACCTAGCCTTCAGTCTTGCTCGACGTGTGGGGCACCGTAACCTCGCTCGAGGTCGAAGTCGAGTACCCTGCCGCCCGCTGTTCCTGGGATCACAGCGTAGCCGAAGGCCATGGGCATGCTGCACAGATTTGGCCGCACACTCGACTCGCCGTCTCGTTTCGTTTCAAGGTGCGGCGCATTGCAGTCATTTAGCCTAACGAACGGCCTAGCAGATTCCCGATCCTCCAGCGCTTACAATTCACTCTGCCTACCTTGCAAGGTGACACTTGCTACGGTGTGCCAGTGAGAGTGAAGGTCCGGTGGTCCATCCAGCGTCCAGCTTCGGCTTGGAGGGACGCAAGCACTGTTGTCCACGGCGACGGTAAGCGGGGGAGATCATAGCGACTCGGCCAGAGCTGTAAGTAGGTTTCGGAACACTATTATAAAGGACCAGGGAAGCTACCGTCTTCCCTCGTACTAGACGCCTAGGCGTTGTATTCGAGGTTGGTCAACAATCCCGAATCTGATCGCACCCTCGACTTGAAGCAATAGCAAAACAGAACGCCGACCCAAGCGTAACACAACTCTTATTAACCCCAACATTTTTTGTCCTTGATTTAAGGACAAAAAAAGAACCAAAAAAGACTTGGCGTTTGTATTGAGTGTAATCACGCCCGGGTAAGTACGAGGTGTCATTTGTAACAAGTACATATACTGTGCGAGAGGTGTAACGTCTGGATCCACATAATGAAATCAAGTCAATGTGCGATTTTTGTCCTAGAATCAAGGACAAAAACCGAAATGTGATATGTTATATATGACCCTTTTCAATCTGCATTTTTATCATGATGGACAACAGAGGACAGTGTGCAAGGCACCCCCCTTGGAGAACGAATCAAGGGCTTTCTGGTCATAGCAGTAATACGGTGTATCTCGCAAAATCAATGCCAGCATAAGCCTCTAACTTTTGGTCCTTTTATTTGTCCTTAATCCGGGGCCTGTTGGGGTTAACGTTAGTAGTTTCCAACAATTCTGCTGCCATTTGGACGAGGTAGCACCTCTGTGCCGACCACCAGCCATACGAGCGGAAGTCGAGCTCTTGTTTTGTCATATCATTATACAATCGCCCTCCCGCGACACAAAAGCCCACGCCAAGAACGTCAGCCCAAGAAAAAGCGTGATAGCTACAGTATCGGATTCAAGCGCAGTGTTGCTGGAGAGTACAACAAGGGTGTCGACGGCTTTGGGTTTGCCGCCCTTGCCGCAAAACTCAAGATACCCTCGCTGTCGATAGTTCGGAAATGGGTTGAGCAGCTGGGCGCCTTACAGGCCATTACCAACCTTCAGGGATTTTAGATTTACTTGAATACAACGCCTACCTTTTTGCATCCTTCAGAGTTTCGCAGTTTCACTTGAATATAACGCCTAGGCCTTTTATTCAAATATAACGCCCACTAGGCGTTCTAATTTTTTAGATTAGAACGCCTAGTGGGCGTTATATTTGAATAAAAGGCCTAGGCGTTATATTCAAGTGAAACTTTAGAACGCCTTGGCGTCTAGTAGCGCTCCGAGCAGCTTAAGAGGTTGATTTCAAAGTAATCTGTGTATGTGTTTCAGCTGACTCCTGCTAGCGCCTTCTGCCAGCGTCTTCTACGAAACCGACCCCTCTCGCTGTCGTTTGCATTGGTTTCGCTGTTCCTCCCTTTCCTACTGCCCGCTTGGTAGCGTCGCTCTGTAGAAGCCACCCGATGAGTGGGCTGGGCTCGCTTCTGTGAAAACTTCCACTGCACTTACCATGTACATGTATTTGCCTACCATATTTCACTGCTAGTAGTATCATGCTATATTTTGAGCCGCCTACCATTCAGAATTGCACCTAGCTTTCATTCTACACAATAACGCAACTCAACTATTACAAAGTACACAGTGTAATAGCGAGGCAACCGGCTCGTATAGTGCGACATGGTAGTACAAGTAGACTGTAGGGCTACACACCCTCCCATGAACAACTTGGTCGACACAGGGAACCCATTATGAAATTTCGACATCGTCTCCGGATTCTATTTCGTGCTTTGTAGCATTCACTTAGAAAATTTATACGCGCCTAGAAGTAGCTAACCCATCGCACCACAGCTCAGCACTCGAGCTTGACACTTCAACATGCGACGGCCCCCATCGCGTAATGTAGTTCACGAAAAGGTATTTCTCACGAATATGCGGCACCGCGCGTTGTTATCTATTCCAGGCTCGGTAGGCCTCCTCGGCGGAAACGTCTCCAGCTGCCGAGTGCGCCTCAACTGCGTCAAGCCGCCGACATTGTGGGGTCAGAGAAGAGCAAAGACTTATGAGAGCAGCCTACCATCGCCACTGATGACCCTGGATCCTGCTCTAGTGCTGTGGGTTCAGAGGCCGACGATGCCGAGATGGATCATGAGACAGCAGACTATCGTCCAGACGACTCTTTTGACTACGGCAGCGCGGAATAATGGTGCGGAAGTCGCTATCTGTCAGTAGCAGAATCGCTATAACGCATTTACTTAACAACCAAACCGTTTGCGAATTACATGTGACCTCATTCGCTTAGGTCACGTGACCAAAGTAAGGATTTGACCCGTGACCAAAATGTAGGATTGACCTAAAACTCCGGTTACCAACGTCGTGAAGTGGCTTTATCATAACCGAACTGGCAACTATTCTAGCTCAGCTGCGGATGCTGCAGCGGAACGGTGGCATCTGGATATCATCAGGTGGCTATGGGTGCGCTGTCCGAAGTTATTCACTACGACGGCTATGGACAATGCCGCGACCAATGGACACCTTGAGATCGTCAAGTGGTTACATTGGAATACAAGAGCCGGGTGTACAAGCGCTGCGATGGATGGCGCAGCCTAAAATGGATACCTCGATGTCGTGAATTGGCTACACTACCACAGGCCTGAGGGATGCAATGAATATGGCTGCTGGTCGTGGCGCGCTGAATATCGTGAAGATTTTGCATGAATATCGGGCGGAAGGCTGTACAGAGGAGGCACCGGTCAAGGCGGGGCTACACGGCCACTTGCACGTCGTGAAATGGTTCCATGTGCACCGACCTGGTGACTGTGGGGCCCTCCTGGTTAGCAAGGTGGCTTCAACAAATAATTTCGAGGTGTTCTTATTTCTGGTGCACCAGCGCTGCGAAAAGCCCAATGCTCTGGAATTTGACAACCCAGAGATGTAGAACATGGGTGCATCCTGAATGCATACCCCCCACGTCTGTACGCAGTTGGTATCTTTGACTTGATGGATCGTCTCCGGAACTCCATGATTCCCTATCAATGATCCCAACACGCTATGAACTACAGTGAATGTAGCAGCGTTTAAGCACGTTTTTCCTTTTCCACAGAGAACGACAACTGCAGAGAAGGCCAGGGCGAGTGCCATGAGAACCAGTTCTCCATAGAAGTACCATCGAACCCCTCCTGTTCTGACATCAAGTATGCTGCATCAAAATCATGATACAGAAGTTGTTGGGGCAGAATAACGCACTTACGTTGAATCCCAGCCATCTTGTTGCTGACTGCGCGCACTTTCAGCCAACCCAGAGGTTACTCGCAGAGGTTCAGAGGGTGCCGCAAACGAGAGACCTTTGTTCGTGGAAGAACTGGGCTTCTGCTGTATACGGCCGATGGCGGAATGTGATGCGTACACGGCGAAACTGGCGCCAGACCCAACGTCGATTGAGAATGCAGGAGCAGCGACAGCAATGGTTCAGTGGGGGTGGAATTAAACGCTTCTTACTCACTAGGACGCGCAGCGCCTCCCGTAACGATTCGAAGTGCACTTGTATCGTGCCAGGCTGGTAAACGTTATACTGAAGACAGGGATGAGGTGCAGATTGAATTGACGAAACTACTTGATAACTGGATTCCTCCGGAAGAAAAGACAGAGCGCCCACGCTTCCTGGACACGTTGGCTCCTGAAGATGCAGGTAGCCTACCCCAGTTTGCTCGGGACTGGATCCTGCCGGATATTGAGCGAGGAGGTCGCTTTGCTCAGCATTGGGGCAATGATAATACTAAATGGGAGAACTATTCGTACACCAGCGAGATGCAAACTGAAATTGATCGGCAGCTCCAGCAGCATGTGGCGCCAGGGTACGGCGGAATTTCGCAAGAAATGTGGATAGCTGCCCCAGCGGCGATTAGAAACCGAGAACGTAGGGTGATTGAACTTATTCTTCGCACAGGAAAAGCACCTCCGATCCTTCGCCGGAAACAAATGATCTTCCTCCCGAAGGCTGCTACAGTCGATCCTACACTCGATAATACGAAAGGCTTGCCGCCATGGCGTCCGATCACGGTACAATCTGCGTTGGCAAGTCGACTATTCCTGGTGGTCAAACGCTATGTAGAACCAGGGATACCGATCAGCAAGATGCAGCACGGTTTCCAGCGAGACCGTACCGTAATTGATGCAGCGCTACTGGTTACGCTCTTACTGGAACGGGTACCCGTGATGCAGAACCCATTAATTCTAGTTTCGAAAGATTGCTTGAAGTGCTTCGATCGGATTCCACGGTGGTGTATGGACTTGATTTACCGAGGCATCGGAGTCCCGGCGAAACCAAGAAATCTCATGATTGATCTGCTAGGTGATGGCATAATTGATGTGCGCACCGCGTTTGGTGGATATCAACCGGACCGCGTAAATTCGGAATAGGGCAAGGTTCAATACTTTCGATTCTGCACATAGCGTTTTATATGGACTGCCTGCAAGAACAATTGGCGGACTGTCCTGACCCTGTTGAAGTTCGACACCACCAAACCGGAGGAGGCATAGAGATCAGTAGCACGCTCTTTGTCGATGACCAACTTGATATCACCACCTCGCTCCGTGGAATTCAAGCTAGTGCCAAGACGACAAATATCTTTATGGGCAAAGCGGGTACTGGAGGCGTGTTTGGTGCGGAGAAATCATTCATGATGTACCTGACTTCGAATAATGAGCACTTTGATGCCGTACAGCTAAATGACGGCTTAGGAATTCCACGGGAGGTGAAGGTTGTTTCTCCGGAGGAAGGTTTTAAGCATCTAGGGGTCTATCAACGTGGTGATAACCTTTGGGAGGCTACGATTACACCTACCTGGGTCCGTCTCACAGAAGAAGCTGATCGAATCGTCCGGCAGAAACTTTCACTCGTGCAATTTCGATATATTGTGAACTCAGTCTGGATTCCCCGTTTACGATATCGTATGGTGCTTGGAGGGGCCATTGGGGTAGCGGGGAGTATTGACACATTTATCAGGCAAGTTGCTCGGTCAGTGTTACGCCTCCCACATTCCACTCCTAGATCGGTCTATTATGATAAATTCAACGGCCTCGGATTGTTGAGTTGCGAACTCGACGCCAATGTCCACCGCTACAACGAAGCTGTTCGAATACTGAACTCCCCCGATCTACCGGTCTATCATTTGCTTGTCGAGTCACTAGAGATGTACCAGGTGAACGCCGGACTTACGGAGAATCCGCTTAGGGTACCGATCAAGCCCCCAGTACAGGTTACGACGTGGGCAGGGCGCATAATACGCTTCGCGGCAGCAATGACCCCACCACTAAAGCTTGATTGTAAATGGAAGCAGCCACCCGCTGCACTCGCCAAACGTTCTAATGATCGACCATTACTCCACTACACGCGGCAGGAGCTGCGATCAAAGCTGGTAGCTGTTAATTGGAACACGGACTCTAAGCTGCAGTACGTTGGGGACATTGTTACAGACTGTGGAACGCGGCTACTTACACGGGCTCAACTCCAACAAAAAGGGATGTGGCAGGGAGCCAAGCGGGCACGGGTTGACGAGCTTTATTCCGAATGGAAAGAGCAGCTCGCAAAAGGTGGGTCATTGGACTTGCGTGAACCGGTGGGATGCAAGAAAGTACCACCAGGTCTAGTGCCATACCAGTTGCGCATTGGTGTAGGGGAATGGATTGTCGCTGTTAAATTGGACACATCAGGCCCGGAACCTACGATCGATCACTACGAACTAGGGCATCGATATATCGGAGAGATTAAGCAACACCAACTGGGTACGATCATTCCAGTTCGGTGGTGGCGCGAGTTACGTCGGGGGAGTGATATATGGGTTGAACGTACACACCTGAGAGACGGTGCTGAATTTGAAGCCGTGTGTGTGCGTGTGATACCTACCTATCTGCCAACGCGACGGAACTGCCGTCAACGAATCATTCTGTAGAGTGATACGTCAGTCAACGGAGTTAGCGGGCTTAACGACAAGCGGCTTTTGAACGAAGCGCTGGCAAGAAGTAGAATCCGCTATGAATCTACACTACGAACAGGCCATCCACTACAGCTAGAGACTGCATGTACGGAGTGCGGTAAGCACCGCGGTGAACAATGGTGCGGAGAGTGTGGGAAATGGCACCACCCTAACTGCGTACCAGTTTGTGGAGGTCGGCGGAGTGAGGAAGGGGTACGCGACCAATGTGTAAAATTTGCCTGGAAGTCGGGGGACGCAGCTGTCACTGTGCAAGCAGGGGATGGTAGTGTCATTGATGCCAATACCCAACGGTCCCGTGGGGGGTGGGCGATGCAAGCCGCTGTGGGCCACTCGGTGTTGGGGCAGCTTTGCATTCACAGACAGGATATCACATCAACGCGGTGTGAACTTCACGCGCTAGTGGCAGGGCTCAGTCTCTATGGCGATACTGGTGAACAAGTGTGTGATAATAAGAGCGCTATCGGTATCATCGCGAAAGCACGGGCGTATGCCAAAGGGCAACTACCGCAAATTAAATTCCGGGATCCTCATCGTATGGAGATTAAGTCGCTGAGTCATGCAATGCGCGACGCGGGTACTTTCAGTGCACGGTGGGTCCGATCGCATATGGAAAATGAATTTACAGTAGACTCGCAACTCCGTGGTCACCGACAGTCACTAGCATGCGTAGATGCAGCAGCGAAGGAGAGCCATAGCTACGTGATGCAGAGATCGTACTCATCGTGGCTCGTATTCGACGATTTCCTACTGATAGATGAGGAGGGCAGACCTGTCTTGGGCAACACATTGAGCTTTTTGTATGATCAAGCATATGCTGCGCAAGCCGGTCGGTGGATTGATAAACAGCGACAGAAACCTCCTATTCGACACACACTGTCCGACGACGAGCTTCCCATGATTTATAATGATAGTTGGTCGGATGAGCTACGGCGATTTTACTGGAGGGCGCGCATGAATCTTCTCCATACCAATGCAGTGAAGAATCGCTTTGATGTGAGGTGGTCCGATACCTGTATTGTGTGCGATAATGGAAACCTTGATACTCAAGATCACCGATTCGGACTCGGAGATGAGGTGTGCCGTGAGGTAATCGTACTGGATGAAATGCTCAATGCCGCGAACTATCAGGTGGGCAGCCAATGTATGCTACCGGACCAGTGTGTCTTGCCGCCAAGTGTCGGCCATTCCATTGCCGTAGACCTGGGAGTCAACCAACGCGGGTTGTGGGCGTCTGATGACCGCATTTCAACTTTGTGGCGGCCCATGGTCCAATTGCAAGATAATCTATGGGTCAATGCCCAGTGGCTAGAGTGGCTCGGGGATTCCGGAGTACTGTTACACGACCAGAGGTTTGCACGATTGGTACAGTCCGAACTGTATGAACAGCGCCAGAGAAGTATAGGCTTGAGTGAAGGAATTCTCCCGGTGACTTTGGTGGAGGTGCTTGGTTTATGTCATCCCGACGTAGGGTGTTATCACACATCGCTTACGCAATGGACTCCCGGGTGGGCTGGAGCAACGTTTGAGCACAACATCGACAATGCTAATCTTCAAGGGTTGCAAGGACTGACCCCAGCCTCTGATATAGCACGTGGTGGGTCGACGACGTTTTCATGTTCACCCGGAAGCGTGGTGGGACGACTTCCAACACCACGTTGATAGGCATCTTACCACAGGCGACCCTGTGTATTGGTTTGCCACGTATTTGGGCTCCCCAGGTCACATGAGACTGGAGGCTTTTGGGTGTGTGGATTCTGCGGATTCCCAAAGATGAGGATGAGAACAGGAAGCAGCATTGTTCAATCGCGACATCTACCCGTATTTGCCGATGTTTTCACGTCTAATAAGGGCGTGATACTGGTGGGTGTTCTAGCGAGAGAGGATCAGGTCCAGACCATCGCAAGTCAGTCAATACCAAAATGGCTGCACGCGCTATCCCAAAGCTTCACGAACGCGTGGCTCATACCAGATTGGCGCGATATGGGCGGAGCTACCAAGCAGTGGTGTTATCCGGTGTTTGGGTGGATCTACGCGGAGAGCAGCTCCATGGAACACCCTCGTTGGTGGGTCAAAGTGAGACTCCAACTTGATCGCTGTGGCCTGACGGTGTACGACGCGCCTGTGGGATGGAGACGCTACCCAACCGTGACGGTCCGTAGTCGGACGTGGGCAGAAGCAATAAGTTTCACTAAACAAGGGGCAGTGGCGCTTCACAAGCTCCTCTTCCGGACCATTTGGGTCACATTACGCGACTATTGGAAGCATACATGTGCCAGCAACGAAGAAAAAGTACAACATGACCGTCAAGCGCTATTGCGTGATGTCAACGCAGGCATCAAGTCACGCCGAGTACAATGGGCCCGGCGGACTCAAAAATCGTTTAGCAGCAAGCTGGCCGACCGTAAGGAAACACTGAAACGACGTAGAGACCGGTGGCACAGCAAGCGTGCACGGGCATTTGAAGAAGAGGGTGATGAGAACGGGATGTAGTTTGCAGATGCATATTAGTACACATTACTTGCATAATAGGATGTAGGGGATAGTCACGCTCGTGGAACGTGACTTGGGCGCCTACCGCGGACTCGTATCCTAGAGATCTAGCGATGCGACCACCGTAGGCGGAGATGCAGCAGTGCGCGTCTCCGGGAGTAGGAAGCCGACTAAACCGCAACAAATTCATATTCAAATGGAAAGGTTGGGTTGCAGATCGGTACAACCTATGGATATCGTAGTTAGCGCCACGGAGATGATACTTTCCCCGCCTACATTTATCCATCAGCAAAGTACGACGTCCAAGACGGCGTCGTTCTCAGGTCTACGAGCTTTCCGACTTTTCGTACTATTCAAACTCGCACGGTAAGTGTTGTATATCATGAAAAAAAGAGAAGTTTACCATAATCTCTGCTAACGCCACTTCGCCTTGTGAGATTTACTTGATCGTGGCCTTCGCTACAGAAACTATTGACAACGATGATTAGTACTCTCCATGAACTCGGAAACTTCAGCGTATTATTCTTGCTTTTCTTCTATATATACGCGCTGATCGGGATGCAAACGTTGAGAATCGGGTTCGATTCGACGAGTACGGCTTCCCCGTCGATCGGAATCACGAAGCTGCTTTCGTACCCGAATCGGTTTAGTAGGGTTCCCCATCGATCGGAACTGTAGTATCGAAGCCGTGCCCGCTGCATCAGGCCGCACAGATTGTGAGGCAGAGCTGGCAGAGGCGTCCGAGGACGAGGTACCTTCAGGTTACAGGAAGACATTGGATAGACATTGAGCAAGAGGAGTTATTTGTCATTCTACTCCATAGTGAGCAGGCTATACAGCAAGGTTCCCCGGGAGCGCCAGCTCCCCTAGTGTGTGCTCCGGTTTTGTGAGTTCGAGGCTGAAACCCACAACAGGAACCACGAGCCTGCTCACGTGCCAATGACAAATTTCGATACCATTAAAGAGGGTCCTGTATCGGACCTCGCTCTTCTGAAAACAAAGTCGCGCGTTGCACGAAGAAGCTCTGAAATTTAGTAAGCATACATGAATGTAGTGTGTAAAGTCCAGTTGCTCACAACAGCGCATTTCCTGCGCCTGCTTCGCAGCCGCAACATCTGCTGAATTTTGACTTGGAACTTAGCAAACAGTCTGCAGTTTCCTAGAGCTTTGGCTCGACAACGATCAACTCCTGCATTCATTATAGTTTGTGCTGCCTACATTTTGTTGCGAGGTTGAGGCTCTATTGTTGCCTTAGCTTTTTTTTCATTTTAAAGGAGAACATGTACTAAGCCAGCAAATATTGTGGATTTCACGCATTTTGGCGTGGACTAGCGATTTCGTGACGGTTTATGCCAATGCTCAACACGAATAATCAGAGAGCGAATAACAGTTTGAACAGGTTTAGCGAATTGAAAAACGAGTAGAGAGATAGCTGACGATTTGTCGAGCTCTTTTAACGAATGGCGGCTGCAGCTCCCGCCATTCGTTACAGTATTTCCAGTCACTATATCATCTCTGTGCTGGCGAACGATGACGAAATCAAGCGACCTTCGTTGGCGTGCTGTCACCCTTGTTCATGTCTACGACGTAGAAATGTCTAACGTGGCCAGTGTTCTGGGCGTGTCAGTGCGCTCCGTGCAGAGATGGTATGATTGGTTTCAAAGTAGAGGAAACGTTGAGGGAGTTGGGAGGAAGCAGCGTACATCACGATGGCCACCAGAGGTGTGTCGTTATGTTGGCCAATATGCTGAGTCGCACCCATGCTTCTACATCGATGAGCTGCGCAGTGCACTTAAAGCCCGATTTCCTACACTGCGAAACACTTACGAGGCAACAATTTGCCGTGCGCTCCGCTTTGATCTCTGTCTTACTCGGAAAATTCTGAGTAAGCGTGCAAGGGAGGCTGCTCCTGCCAAGATTGCGGTCTATTACAATACAGATGACCACGGAAAAATACGCCAGCGCTGACCATCATCCTCCATAGTAAGCCGAAGGCTACTAAAAATACGCCACTCACGCTGATTGGCCGAAAGTGTTCTTTGCGTTCTAGAAAAGGGCCGATTATGTATAGAAGGACGAGAGATCTCGCAAAAGTAAGTCCATATTGTTTGTGGTTATGGAGCTCAACAGCTTTAAAAGCTGCGGAGAAGCAGTTTTCTTAAACAAAACCTATTGTTTCATTCTACAATGACAATCAATATACTTGAGGGGTTCTTGTGCGCTTTCTCAGTGCTCAGGCCAGTCTATGCTTAAAAAGAACCAATTCTGGCATACAATAACAGCAACATTGACCGAGCGTTAATCTGATGGTAACTTAGTGCCTAAGGTATAAACAAACGTATGCTTAGATGCACATTCCCACATCGATGAGGTGTTTATAGGCTCGCAGAGCTACTCCAACCATTATTTCTGCAAAATTTATGGGTTTTAGGAGAACCTCATTGGCTATAAATACATGTGACTATTTGTATCGGATCAGTCATCTAGATTTGTCGCATGGCGTATTTTTTGGTGGAGCGTATTTTTCCGTCGTTATCTGTAAGCTGCTACCTTTTTACTCTGGCCCAGAGCAACTTGTCTTTTGGACGAGACAGCTGAGGCTGGATGCGATTGTATGCGTCGATACGCATGGTCGCCGAGGGGTACGCCTGCTGTAGTTGACCTGCCTTTTAAAAGAGGCGAGCGGATATATGTCTTAGCTGCGATGGACATATCTGTTCTTTTGCATGGGAAATGACTAGAGGAACGTTTTCACGCAAAGCGTTTCACAAAGCTTTTAGAAAAAAAGTCGCGCCGCTATTAAATCCGTGGCCGCTTCCGAGAAGCATTGTGATTCTCGACAATGCAAAGATACACCTGTATCGATAACTAGAAGAGCTTGTGCGCTCTGCTTTTTTTCCTTCCTCCATATTGCCCACAACTGAACCCAATTGAAGTTTCTTTTGCATTGCTAAAGCGTTGGATAATTCACCATGCCAATATGGCATTCCGAGTTAATCCAGAAGCGGTTATGGAAGTTGCATTAAGAGAATGCACTCGCACTAATGATTCCATAGGAAAAAACCTTTATCGAAAGTGTGGATATTCTTCTAGCTTAGTAGAGTATGTATTTGTAGATAGAGCGAAAGATTTAATCTAAACTACAGCTTCGTCGTGCTCTCGATTATCATCGTCTTGTTTCTCTTCGGCATCGACTTCTCGTCGGCTTCGCTTTCGCTGTCTTCCACCTTGGTGTTGCTCGCTGTTTTCTTCTTCATCTTCCTCGTGGTTCTCTACGTCTTCGCCGTCCTTTTCTTCCTCATGGTCGACGTCAGCAAGGTCGTGTTGCTCTGCCGTTGGGGGAATAATTCGGGCACGAAATGGGGGGCGCAAGTCGTATCCGGGTAGCCCGAGAACATCACGCAGCTCTTGAATATTGATGTCGATGGGTACGGCAACTCCATTTAGATGGATATGGATGCGTCGCGTAGGTTCGTTGCTTTCCGCTGTAGCTGCCAAAAGCTCTTCGCGGTGTTGTTCAGCTTGCCTATCAACGTAGTTTAGTTGTCGAAACGTCTCATTGTCGGACTGTACAACTGGGGCTCCGTCAGGCTGACGCGCTTGTACACTCGCCCAATATTCGACCGAAGCTGGTCCTGGCGGTTCTCTATTTTCCGACTGCAGTAGCTCGCTGATACTCTTTGTAGCTTGCGCAACGCGACTTGCAGTAGCTCTGTGGATAGGATTAGTCTTTTTTACCCTATTGACATACAGGAAGAGAGGAATGCGTTTGCCTTGGCGCCAAAATCTCGTCCACACCGCCTTCAAAAAGCCGATAAACCTTTGCTCGTCCTCCGGTAAACGCTTGTACTCGTGTTGGCGCGCATTTACCGTCGACTTGACGTAGATAGCAGCGTCGGCAGGCCATATTGCAGCGGTGTCGTCAACAAACAAACGCTTTAGCCTCTCCTTTAGGACACTATAGCCCTCACGCACCGATAAGGAGATCTCGATGGAGGCTTTATATACAATCCTGCAGTCTGTCAGCGGCTCGCCGATCTTGATCGTCACGACAGCGTCGCAGAGCTCGGGTAGCGTGGGTAGTTCGGCCGTCATTGGCGTCCGTGGGCAGGTGTCTGTGGTGAAGATGCTGGCTTGTGGTCGGCAAAAAGCGAGATGCATAGTTTTTGCGCAACGACTTCTTTATTTAGCCAAGACGATTTATGGGACGAATAGAGGGCGCAAAATTCGGGAAGGCGACAATACATACTGAGGTTGTTTTTCCTTCTTATTATTGTTGTCCCCGAGAGTAGTGCGCCACCACCACCAACCCTTGCAAGTTTTCGGGGCGGTATGTTGGAGGTGACAAATGGGCTGATTTCTGCCGACGTACGTGGTGGGTGGTGCAGTACAAGCAGTAGGTGATGACCGAGGTCGTGTCTCCGGATGGAAGGACGTGGACAGCAGCGGCCACTTACCGTCCTCGACACGCCCGTCTTTCGATCAGCGATAAGCCAGGGCGCCTCATCATGCAGGGGCTTAGCTCGCAAGAGCGACGGTTTAGCGGGTCGCACCTCACTAAACCACCAGCACTCTCTTGGCCGTGGTTAAGTTATGGCAGTGCAGCATAACATTCGTGCTGGTGTCGACTTTAGCAGTCATGGGTCAACAATGAATGCATAGGGAATTGTGAAATGAATTGCAGAATAATTGCGCTAAGAGAAGAAGTTCTGCCTGAATTGCAGAATAATTGCGCTCAGAGAAGAAATTCTGTCATTCCACAAAAAGAAACACGATGGTGAAGCTTTTCTGCGCGGTCATTGGCGTCGGGAGTGTTTTTCCTGTGGATATTGACATCAGCGAGACTGTCGGAGATCTAAAGGACAAGATCAAGGAGAAGAAGCCCGGCTTGATCTACTTTGATGCAGATCTGCTGAAGCTGTACCTCGCGAGGGAGGGCAACGTGTGGTTGAACTCGCGAGACGAAGATAGCGCTGGAGGCGAAAAGATTTCCAGATCGAGTCAAAAATATCATGCAAGAACACCTGCTGCTGGACGAGACAAGGGACCTCAACAACGCTGCATACTTTGGCCACTACTTCGAGCGAGTTGAAGAAGACATCCATGTGCTCGTGGAATGTCCTGACGAGCCGGATCAAGTCAACAAGTACAAGCGTGGCCACATAATCGCGGCCATCGCAGCTTGAATTTCCTCCACTCCAGTGTCCGGAAGGTGAAGTAGCACCTTCACCTGCCTGAGTTGGGCGGTACAACGGTTGCTGGCTTTGATACAGACAGATCTAGCGAGTTGGCGCTTCGACTGATTCGTGACACCCCACAACTTAACCGCGCTGGTGCTTAAGCACTCGTTCATATTTTCAATGGCATGCTGAAGCCATTGCAAGATCTCCTCTGAGCTATTCTCCACAGCAATATCATCAATCAGGGTGAGTTTTTTCTCAGTCAGAAGTTGGTCGGTGGTACGTGTGAACTGCTCCATTTCCTCCATGCTTTTGGTCCTCGTATTGACCACCTTGATTGGAGTTACTCCACGTAGACCAATTGGCATCTGTGCCCCTCTTTCGCAGCGCAGAACAGCAAACGGAGTTCCCACGTGGTCACTGCTAAGGATGCTGTTGAGCCAAATCCCACTTCTCACCACCACCGATTCATTCTCTCCAGATATGTAAATGTCGTCAAGTGCAGATTTGATGCCTTGACGAGCGTACGTAAACCGGTTCGTGTTTGGATGTCTGCATTTAAAGGACGAGACAAGTCCATGGTCACCCACCCAGTCGGCAAAGCACTGACTCATGCGTTGTGCCGACCGAGTGCGCTCACCATTACCTTGGCGGTCGCGATCGGGGTCTGGGTAGGTGTTGAAGTCGCCGCCTAGGATGATAATTGCGTTGGCTTCACGCCCGAGTGCTGTTTGCCGTTGGATCCACTCCCATTCAGATCTGGGTTCTTCCTCGTGCTGATCAGGTGAATGATGAATGTATGTACCAATCACCCACAGCATGCGGGCTCGTCCAAGGCGTATGGTGACCCTCATCGACCTGTAGCTTGGAGAGTACGAAATGCTGTCTTTTACCAGCCGATTTTCCCAGCGTTCCCGTAGCAACGCCATTCCAATGTACTTCGTGCCTATTACCAGTATCCCTGGCACTTTGCGAGGCTCCGTCGTGCTCACCCACGCCTGTTCAACGCGTCTGTCCTGGGGTGCTGGATCACTGACAATCATGATGTCTTGGTTGTTGGCAATCATCCAGCTAGCCAACTCATCATTCATCTTCTTACGCAAATTTTTGTTGATATTGGTAGTACAGACACGTATCGCACTTTCATCGATTTCGTGCCCACTCTCGTCATCCCCAATGTAATCGCCCGAGTAGTGTTCCCGCTGCAAAATGCTCCTCAACACTGTACTTCGTTCCGGGTCGTTTGGACTGTGATACGAACATCGAACGGGTCTCCATGGTCTGTGTTTCCGCCCACCGCGGCAGTGGCGCGAAGTAGTACGGTCCCCAGCGGCACTTCTGTCCTCCCACACCGATGCATCCGTCCCACTAGAAGTATCCGCTTCATCACGATACGCTTCACCTTCTCTCGGCCATTCCAGACCTCTGCTTGAAGCGGCCTCGACAACAGCGTTACGACTTTCAGCATTGACAAGTGCCGGGAGATTCATGACCAGCTGCAGAAGCAGGAGGAGCACAACTAACCCTGTCCAGCGAAACCTCCACATGGTCCCAGTGGTTTGTTTGGAGGCCCACCCTACTGGCGCGCTGGACCCCCAAGACCAAAATTCTTCAGAAGATCGGCGATAGTCTTCGTTTGTTCCTCTAGTTGCTCCTGGAACGTCGTGGCTGCAGCAGTGATTGCCGAGCTAATTTGCCCACTTAGATCTCGTCGTATTTCCTGAACGTGCTGCTCGGTGCGTTGCTGCTGTTGGTCAAGATGGAGTAAGCGCTGCTCGAAACGGTCCGTTCTAGCGCGCACGAGGCGGTCTAGCATGGCTTCTGTGTACTCATTGAGACCTTGGCTGGTCCACATGGCCGAGTTCTCACGACGGCTTGACAACACTACAGCACTAGCTGGCTGATGTTGGGACTCCAGACCAGTAAGGCGCGGGCATACATACCTGAGATGACTGGGCTGCTTACATTCGTGGCAGCGGCGCTGGGCTGGCACGTCCTCCCATTTTCTTTGGTAAAGCGGTATATTCTTGTACTTCAGCACGTTGGTGCCTTCGGGGCCGAATTGGGTGAGAATGGCATTCTGCTGGTCGGATGACATACACGTTCCCACACCAAACAGCGGTTGCTTTCCACGAATTTCAACTCTCACCTTACCCAACCCATTACTCTCGAACACTTCCTCAATGTCTGCTGCTTTGATCTCAACTCGTAATCCGAAGATGCCGACGCGAAATAATTCTTGACCGCTTTCTCGTTCCGCGGGTCATTGCTTGATGAATCCCATTCTGCATGTGGCACAGGCTTCAACTTCATGGTACTCGTCGGGTCTCCATGGCCCCGTAGCCGCCCTCTCTGTGACTCGAGGTACGACTTGTACACTCTGTTCGCTGCCTGGGGGCTTGGGAAGAACAACCGGAAGGAGTAGATTGGATATGGCGACTCAGTTGCTGCCACTTGTAAACATTTCTGCACAGGGCGTCTGCCTCGCTGCCGAATGTTGTACCGATCTGTGTGAAACCACCACGAAGTCTGCTCCACCCCATTCCTTAACAATGTCACACAACTGGGAAACGGAGACACGGTTGCAATTCATGTACTCCAATTCGTTAAGCGTAAGTGGCGTGGTCTTTTTGCCCGTGAACATTGGCTGTACCCAAATGCGCACACCCTCCACAGTTACCTCGTCCTTCTTCAGCACCAACCATAGTGCTCGGTCCAGATTCTTTGGGCGCCCTGATAAAACATCACGCCTTCAATCAAGTCGTCTCCCTCGAAAAGCACGCCCAACTGCTTACACAGCTCGATGATGTCCTGCTTGAAGTCGGCTAGCGTCATACGACAGCCGTTGACCCTCACCAAGCGCTCATTCATTGCGAAAACCACTTCTGTGGTAGTGGCGCTCGACGTCAGCCCACTCTTCCTCCGTGAAAGCTTGAATTAGCTCTTCTTCCTCAAGTCATCTTCTGTCATCCCTTGGTCTGTTTGGGCGCGTGGCCGTTTGGCCCTGGAGCTACTCAAGCCCCCTGCTGGTGTGTCCGCGCCCTCCATAGTTACGTCTTCGTGTGACGACGTCGTGTTTCTCTCTCTCGAACTGCTTGCCTCCATGTTCATACGTCTGCTTCTTCAGTCTGGTATACAATCTTCAGCATAAAACGACGCTTCGGTCGCCTTCGCTCCTACGGGCTCCGTCCACTCGCGCTTCGTCGATCTAATTCCGGAGTCCAACCTTTCCAACCAAGTTCGGAGACCTTGATCATTAAAATACGTTTCTTGCTATCATTGGGAGCCTCCTACCAATAGACCGATAAAAGCTGCGCATCACGAAATCGATACCGACAATCCACTTGGTCGTTGTGTAGAATTGCAATATCACAGCGATTTTTTTATCACCGATAAAACTGTAAATTAGCGAACAGCCCCTAGATAGCATTGCAGCGTCGCAAGCAGCACTCGTCCTCTGAGCACTTGGACGCACCTGTATTTATTGGGGACCCGGGTGGTGGACCCGGGGGGGTTCGCAGTTCGAAGTTAGCTTGTACGGATACCCTTACAGGCAAACGATGTACTCGGGCATTTCCTTCGCGTCCGCAGCATCTGCATCTGCCACTGTACAACCAAGTGTATCAAGTTTGATCACTTCTTTTCAAAGGCGTTGCCAGTTCATATCGTCACTCCAACGAATTGGTACTTCAACGCTTGGGTTTGACAAACCCACTGTGGTGACTCCACGTCCTCCTGCTCGTCGGATGAGGACCGGATTTAGTTTTAACTTTAGTTCTTTTGTAGTTAGTAGAACGATTATCATCAACAGGCTAACCAACGTAATTTTCTTCCTTTCTGCCACTGAAATGTGCGCTAATGCCCGGGCATAATCTTTTATTTTTTAGATTGTAGTGTTGTGCTCGGAAAATTGCAGGTGGCGATAAAACAAGAAACAACCGTGAATTCGAATATTTAGCGCTGCCAGGCTAACTGCTCAACCGAACTTGCAGGGTAAACCGATGAAGCCAGCAACCTATTTCAAGTTTGATGAGTCAAAACTGAGGTCTAGGAGATCTCTATCGCGTTTAGGAGTAGGATACACCGGGTGTTTGTCCTTTGCTTTTACAATGTCCGCCCGGGCTTCCTCTCGCACAAGAATCCGGGGATGTACAGCGACAACGTAGGAGCATTAAAGTACTATCACGGTGACCACATGATTTTTCAATTAATCTCTCTGAAAATCTATAGACGCAGAAGAAAATTGGTGTCTGAAAGAGGAGGGTATAAGTTATGCCTCATAACATATCGAATCGATAATTTTAACGCGAAATGGAATGAGTCAGTACTATGTTGAGCGCTTTGAAGTTGCATGTAGTATAATACGATGCAGTGATGTAGTAATGGCACCAGTTGTCCCCAATGTCAGCATCATGTCACTTTCTCTGGTGGCATCGTGTGCATCTGACGTCAATCTAGAAGGAAAAGAAGCTCCGAGGCGAATAGGCATCCGTAAGAGTCATTCATACCAGAATCGATCAAGTGCTGTCGGATGTAGTGTGAATGTTGTTCGATGACATCCGTCCTCGTCCGCTCAGCCGGCCGGCAAACTGCTATATCGCGCTCAGGTGAGTCACTTGGTTTTGCGTCCGCTCGGGCCGAGCCCCGGCTTCTTCGAGTCTTCGCTCAACGTCAAGAAGTCTCAGCTCGAGCTGCTCGACTCAATTTTGCGAATGCGGCTCCAAGCGGAAGACATACGTGGCCCCCCACGCCGAGCTGAGCACGCGGAACTTGACTGTGAGCTTGAGCTGGAGGGCGTTGTTCTCCAGCTTGACCAGCTCCCGTCGGATGCGGTGGGAATCCAGCGTTGCTGCTGCTGAGTCGACATCGCTCGTACACGTAGTATCACTCGAGTCTGTGGCCTCACTCCCCGTAGCGTCCATCAGGAACTCCAGCGTATCTTTAAAATCTATTCAGCGGTTGAAGCAGCAAGAATTAGTACATACAGCCACTTAATGTTTGATAGAGAGTAACAACGCACCGAGACAGTCAGCGGTAGTCACATCCGCAATTCGATTCGTACTCGTCATGTAGGCGCCTTCGTTTAGGAAACCCGTGGACCTGCAAAACACAATACCGTTATGATTAGTTCACTGCTTTCACCTAGAGCCCCCACCTGATATTACCATTGTTGATCCGTCTGGACGTCTTGCAGGACGATCTTCAGCCGGGCTTCGCGGAAGGAGATCTCGAACCGATACGGTGCCGGTAGCGGTGCGAATGCTGTCAAGCCTGAAATCGTCTCGGTTCCTGTCGTCATGGTCGTTGCAGCTTTTGAAATGAACTTTGTCGATGAAAAGCTCGAGCCGAGCGACGATACAAACATGTCAGTTGGTCCTCTCCGCAACAGCACGTCCCAGATGAAGAATAATAATGCGCGGGCCGGGCCAAGCAGCTCGTCCCAGAACGGACTTCGCGTGGGACGAGCCTGGTATGCACGATCGAAGCGATGGAACAAGCTGCAACTCTGAATTATCTGGATGTGGTGAAGTGGCTGCAGTCCAATCGGACCGAAGGCTGCACGAAGCTTGCCACGGAACTCGCGGCAGGAAGTGGGCACTTGGAGATGGCGGAATGGCCCGACACTCATCGTTCGGAAGGGTGTTCGGCTGCAGCTATGAGTTGTGCCGTGAGCAGAGGTCATTTGGAGGCCGTCAAACAGCTACATTGTCATCAAACAGAAGGGTGCGCAACCGCAGCCATGAGCTGTGCTACGCGCAGCGGGCACCTGAAAACTATTGAGTGGTTGCATCTAGATCGAAGCGAGGGTTGTAGGGTCCAAGCCATGGATGGAGTAGCATCTAGCTGTGGTCAAGTACCTTCATAGCCAAGTAAACACTCGCTGCTTCGTAAAGTGCTCGAGAGTGGCGTTCTACAGGACGATGAAAAGCCCACTTTTTCCACCGGAATGCCAGGTTCGGCCTTTGACAAGCCCTTGGATAACTTCGCGACTGGCCCACCGAACACTATCCTGACCTGCAGCCGAATGGAGGCTTTAATTAAGGACACCAGGCTCTCGGGAAGTCGTACTATACATTGTTCGGCTCGTATGCAATCCTGCCAAATGAACTTGCCAGTGCGATGTCAAGCAGCAACGCGCTGAACCAAATGTCCCCTTCTAGGCCGGTGATCCCACCTCCTTCTTTAAGTAAAATAAAGTTTTAACAAATTACGTGGTATGGTGAAGGCGACGAGTGCCGCATCGCGAAAGCTCGTGAGCGCGCGACGACGTCCAGTTCTGTTCGTATGGGTGATAAAGCAACCGGGAATTGACGGTGCGGCAACTATCTTCTTGAAGATGACAACGCGACGATCTCGAAGCGAAAGTATCTTTTCCTCATGGCCGGCCGAAAGAGCAGCGACTATCGCGCAGCGAGGAAGCTTAGCTCGGTCACAGGGTCTATCTATTTTTCGTGGGGCCCCATTCAGCTGTGCGAATTCATACAGACAGAGTCTACAGAAGCCGACGTCGGGAGGCACAATGCCCCCTGGCACACACCGATGGTTACCATCCAGTCTGAAGTCGATGTTGAACATGCTGACATGTGAACAAGCGACGATACCTTGAAGTTGTGATGCACCGGACAGGACGCACCGAAGTCCTCTACATCAAGATGCGGTTCATGTTTTGCCGTACGCACGCTTCGGATCAACTAACAGCCACGCCACAGCAGCGACTTCTACGTGGCTGGGCTGCAGACCCGCGTGAAAATTGTGTCAAGCGTTGGTGGCGCCTTGCGAACGCGACAGCTGATGGACGCGCTTCCGGCTCAGATGCTGGACACAATAAGCGTCTGTATACTGGAGTTCATCGCGGACTCGTATCTCGGCAAAGGCGCTACACAGCGATAGGCGAGCATGACTCACGAGATGCTCCCAAGGCAAAGGCGAGCTCCCATGCTCTCTCGGTGCAGCACCTATCGACGATAGGAAGCAAGACCCCCGCCATGTGGAGCCATCGCTGGCATTACGCCACGTTCGACTCTGAGGTTCGCCTCGTTTCTGAAGCTCTGCGAGTCATCTCCGGATGGGAGCCACGCCCGATCTGTCTGTTGGGTGTTCATCTCCGTGTGCCTCCGAACGGATGCGCGGATACTCTTGCTGCTCGAACGGGGCGTCAAACGAGCGCCTGTGCACGGCACAGCATACCGCCGGCCGCGCTGGTTCAGGATCTTGTCGCCGCCCTCAGTTCCTCACTTTTCAATTTACTTTGCTTCCAACAAGCATCGTTCTCCACCCCCAGCAATTGCTACCTACACTCCCTGTCACTCGACGACACTCCATCGACAATGAACCTCACCAAGTTGGCTGCGTACCTGGCTGTCGTGTCCCTCGCCGTCGGCTCCTTCGCGGATGCCTCTGTCCCCACGACCGGCTACGCTGTTCGTCGGCTAGGAGCTGGCGGCGGCGTTTCGACCTCGACGACCGGAGTCGCCGCTGACACTGCGACGCAGCAGACGACCACGACGACAGACACTGCAACGCAGCAGCAGCAACAGCAATCTACCCAAGGCGGCCAGACCTCGACCCAGGGCGGCCAGACCTCGACAGACTCTGGAAACCAAGGAGGACAGTCATGGAACCAGGGCGGCCAGCACGGAGGAGACTCCAACCAGGGAGGCCAAGGCCAAGGCAATCAAGGTAGCGGCCACAACTGGGGCCAGGGCAACCAGGGCGGTGACGCTGCAACTACCCCATGTCCGAGCGACGATGCCAACCAGGGCGGCCAAGGCCAGTGGAACCAGGGCCACAACTGGGGTCAGGGCGGCCAAAACCAGTGGAACCAGGGCAGCGGTCACAACTGGGGCCAGGGCGGCCAGGGCAACCAGGGTGGACAAACGTGGACTGGAACCCAGGGAGGCGACGCTGCTACTACGCCGTGTCCGGGCGACGACGCTAACCAGGGCGGCCAAGGCCAATGGAACCAGGGCAGCGGCCACAGCTGGGGACAGGGTGGCCAGGGTAACCAAGGCTGGGGTCAAGGTGGCCAGGGCAACCAGGGCGGACAGACTTGGACCGGAAACCAGGGAGGTGATGCTGCTGCTACGCCGTGCCCAAGCGACGACGCGAACCAAGCTGGCCAAGGCCAGTGGAACCAGGGCCACAACTGGGGTCAGGGCGGCCAGGGCCAGTGGACCGGTAACCAGGGAGGCGACTCGGCGGCCGCGCCATGCTCCGGCGACAGCTCGAACCAGGGCGGCGAGGGTCACTCGTGGGGACAGTGGGGCCAGGGCGTCGGAGGAAGCCATGCAACGCAGAACAACGGTGGCGACAGCACTAACCAGTGGACTGGAACTGTGACTACACCGAACCAAGGCTCGGCTGGTGGCGACCACACTCCTGTCACGCAGGGTGGCGATTCGAGTGAGACGCCGTGCCCGAACGACCAGGGCTCGGCTGGGTCTCCTCCCGAGACCCCCTCTGTTCCGGAACCCCCTGTGACTGAAGCCCCGTCTACCGAGGCCCCTGCTACCACCGCGCCCCCGGCGACGACGGCCCCGCCGACAACGGATGCCCCCACTACCCAAGCTTCTGCGACCAAGACCGGCGTCACTCCTGCCGCCCAGTCGGACGATTCGACCACGCAGCAGTCCGCCGTTCAGTCTCGCCTTCGTCACTAGGCTCCGCGCTGATCCAAAGGGCCGATACTTTAGCTCGTCTTCGTTTGGATGATTCGGTTGACCAGCATCGCCGCCAACTGATACCGTAACCTTGCTTGTTGCCCATGTTTCAAAAATACAAAGTCTCGTTAATACGTTTGGCGTAGATTTAAAAGTACCGGTGCGGTTTCTAATGAACGTTCGCACACAAGATGAGCTGGTCAGCGGACTGCATGGCGATATTTCAGTGTGCTTCGAGCCAGCTTGCAGTTTCCTTCGCAAAAAAGAAAACATGGTCCGCCTTAATATTATTGGAACGGACTTGAGGATTGTCGGTGGACTGTCAAGTGCGGAATATGAAGCCACGGCTTCAGAGCCGCGCTCAAGTCGAACCTCGCATTGGTGATGCTGGTGCAGCCACCACACAACGTCACTATGGCAATTAGCGATAGCACTGGCCATTGAAGCTCCTCCCCACTCCACGGAATGGCCCGCCGTGCAGCGTCTGTTGGCCTCCCGAAGTCGGTGCCCCGCTATTCTGTTGCCGTTGTCGAAGAAGAATTGGAGGATATCGATGGCCCCCAAGGCGGCTTGTGTCACCACCTCGGATGTGACCTTGAATCCCTGGAAATTGGCAGGCAACCTCTTGACCATTTTCCTCTCTTGTGCAAGAATACATGTGGGGCTACAGCAGCTTCATTTTCAGTTATTGAGGGTCGCCTCGGTGCGGCTTGAACCGCAAGGTAAGCCGAGTCACCCCCGAGATTGGTGGGTGGGTAAAAATTCTGCGTCGTCTACTTGTGAGCGAAAGACCGAATGACGCAGCTCACCTACTCGACCTCCTCGACACAACCGCTTGAACCGTGCACATCCGTTGGTCAGGTCGCTCCGTAATAGCTCCCGGGACGAAAAGGGGGCGTGGGAAGAGTATCTGACGATCCGAGACAACAGGCGAAGAGACTGGAAGCTGCACGACTTCTGGAGGGGCAGCTCCACGGACGAGTCTAGGAACAGCGAGACGGCCGTCACCACGAACAGAAGCTGCACCGCCGACGGTCGCCATGCCAGATCGGACTTTTTTTCTTTTGTGAGCAAACTTGAGTCAAATTTGGATCACAAATTTTGGGTTCGGACTAAATCTGGAACACCAGATGCACTTTTGTTTTTAGTACAGTACCTACGGTAATTAGTCTGACTGAGACTATTTTTTTGTAAGTGGTGTCTGGGCTTATTTACATTAAATAGTCTGAGTCAGACTATTTAATGACTAAGACTATTTATGTAGCACGAAAATAGTCTCACCTCTCATTTACCTGGATCTGGACTGCTCTTTTGTGTATCTGGAGTTGAAGTCACAGGCTCGTCTTCGAAGTGAGCACGATGTTATCTCTTGGAGATGAGGATAGGGTTGGGCTACAGACCAGGTTCCGTCGATTCCAAGCGACAATCCGCAGTGGATCATCGCTTTTCGAGCGTAGGACATGCCGTTCAGTCTTTCTGGTGATTGACATCTCTGGTTGCGTCAGCTGCAAGCTGAAGGAAAAACTTTTTACCAAGGTTTTGAAGCTTGCCCGACCACGACCCGTCCTTGCGAACCTTATTTTGCCAACTGTTCTCCTTGATCAGACTCAGCTTTTTCGCGTTCCACCTTGCTTTCCATGTGTAGTTTATCTTCGCAATGATGAAGGAATCTACTGGCTGACACAAGTCGGTGATTGTTTGGAGGGAAGAACTGGAGATCTGCATTGATTGAGTTGACTTCATCTTGACATTGGTCAGCTCCGAGGTGGCCAGAGCAGTTGTCGAGGGAGATGGTCTTCTTGCGGCCATGTGGATTTGCTCGGATTGCTTTCCTTTCGCTCAGATACTCTCGAAAAAGTCTTTGTGTCATCCATCCTTTCTTACTGGATCGATAACACACGCCCGGAGTGTCATCGGGTACGCCTCGGATCGACGTCTGCATGCTTAATCTGTTTTTCGCCCGAGAAGCCAAAAAAAAAATTCCATTGTCGAAATCAATGACAAAATGAGTCTCATCAATATTTTCGATTCCATTTTCGTCCAGAAACCCGTCGGCAAACCCACGCTGAACTCCCCGAGATGAGATGCAACCTACTTCTCGATATGTAAGATCTTGGGCTGGCTGAGCTGTCGTTTACCGGTCAGAACAATCTGATGGGCCTCCATGAAGCACTGGATCCAACGCGAATTAATCTTCTCTTTGATCAGAGCCTGCTTGGCATCGACGCTCATATGAGTGTACTCGCCCCCCCCGTCTCGCAAAATCTGTTTCGCGAGCTGCAGCAGTAGTCGCGGCTCAAACTTAACTCCCAGTTTGCTTAAACGATCGAATTCGTCAAGGAGTTTCGAGTAGCCACGTAACCCATTCGCTGCGAGGGCGGCCTCGTCCACTGATCACCTTGGTGCTGACACGCCGCCTCCCACCGCGTCGCCGTGCCGAAACGGCAAGAAGACCCCAAAATCAGGTCATTTTTCGCCCAGCAATCTCTCGCCTTGGCTAGGTTGGCAGCCCGCATCGCTAAGTTGAAAATCGTAGGAAATGCAGCGACAGCTTTCGCAAACATGCCTTCAACGTCTTGTGTCTCCTCGTGCTTTTCCATCCACCGAACGACCTTCCGACGGTTTGAGATACTGCTCCCTGCTTGCGTGTGACGTCCAACTGTGCGCAAAGAAGCAGGTGGAGGAGGCTGTGATGCATCGAGCTCAATGTCCGACTCGCTGTCCAAAAGCTCCACAGCGAGAGCAGTGGCCGAACTGGGCGAGCTCGTAGCAGCGGAGTTGTCAGAAGTGGTTGGAGCAGTCACTGGGCCACGTTGGTTGGGCGGGCCGCACTTAGGACAGACTACACGTTGTCCAAACCCTTCGTTCCCGGTGGGGCGTCCGCAGAATGGGTGCATATGACTGGAGCAACTTGGGCAGCAATGAACTGGACCCGCAGGTTCGCCGCATCTCCCACACGGGGCAGTAGATTTCTTGGTTACAATTGTGTGGTGGCTGGGTGGTGGCTGGGCGGTTGTTGGTAAAACAGGAAGTGGGAACGTCAAACATAACTTTGCGTGCTTATAGGGAGCTCAGCTTCTAATTTCCGCGGCCTTTCACCCCTACCACCAGAGCGGAGGTATCACCAGACATGTCGGCTGGTACAGTGCGCGCCAAATCATTAGGACCCTTAATTGGGCGACACAGTTTTGCCGATATCTCGGCTTGTAGGAGGCATTACGAGTTGCTGTTTAGATATGTTGCTGGTGGATGCTTTATTAAGAAGCAGTATGTGTTGACAACTGCGATTTCCGAGTCCTTAGTAGGGCTAGCATACAAACTACCAGATTTGGTTCCAGCGACACAAATCAGTACCATACCCTTTTTCTGACAAAATGACACAGTTTTATGCAATCCCATTCAAACTTCTACATTATAAGTTAGTACTTAGTGAGGCCGCCCTTCTGCTTGATGACAGCAAGGCAGCGGCGAGGCATGGACTCCACGAGCTTGCACAGGTACTCCTGCTCGATGGAAGCCCACGCTGCCATGATTGCTTCTTCGATATCACCCACTGTACGGTACTGACGGTCATGAGCGTAAATCTGCGCCGCCGTAACCGACCAGACGTTCTCGATTGGGTTGCAGTCGGGGGAACGGGCAGGCCAAGCCTTGGTGTTGACTTCCATTTCTTGCAAGAAACTCGTCGTCTCACGCGAGGTATGAATCGACGCGTAATCTTGCTGGAATACGAAGTCGATACCGTGGTTAGAGTGAGCGAACGGTAGCATATACTCAGACACCGTATAAATGTAATGGCCCGAGTTTTGGCGACCCCACAGGATCGCCAGCTCACGCTTACCTTGGGCACTGAATGCCCCCCCAGACCATCACGCTTCCTCCGCAGTTTTGGTGCCGCACGAAGGACTGCGCAGGCTGCCTCATGTCGCGCCAGTAGTACTTGAAACCGTCCGGGCCGTCCAGATTAAACTTTTTTTCATCTGAAAAAGTATATTTCCGAATTTCTTCACATATTACAACCGTTAGCATCCCGAAGCATAACATAAAACAAATTAGAGACATTACCTGGGTTAAGTATGTGATCCTCAGCCCATTCCATCCGCGCTGCATTGTGGGCCGCAGTGAGGGGTAGCGTGCGGTCCATCTTGCTGTACACCAGATGGTCTACACGCTACAACAGCCGTAGAACCGTGCGCGCGGACGCCTTGAGGCCGAGCCCCGTCTTGAGCTCCGCTGCGAAGCGGTCGCCAGTCGCCGCCTTGCGCACTAGCAGCCGGATCTCCCTCTCGGTGAGTGTTGCACTAAGTACTAACTTATAATATAGAAGTTTGTATGGTATTGCATAAAACTGTGTCATTTTGTCAGAAAAAGGGTATGGTACTGATTTGTGTCGCTGGAACAAATATTGTCGTTTGTATGCCAGCCCTACTAAGGACTCGGAAATCGCAGTTGTTAACACATACCGTTTCTTCGTATAGCATCCACCAGCAACATATCTAAACAGCAACTCGTAACTCCATCTACAAGCCGAGATATCGGCAAAAGTGTGTGGCGAAGCGGCTCCGCGAAATTTGCAGATCGTGGGGGTCCTCTTGTACACGGCACCCGAACTGCTGACTAACGAAGGGGGTACTCCGATCTTCCGTGAAGTTGCTGACCCTCACCTTGTGTACCCGTCGGTGGGCTGGATCGCTCTTCGGGTGATCTCGAGAAGACGCGCTTGGGATTGAGTCTTGGACTGTCTGGCGGACAGCGGGAACTTGTGGCAGCAACGCGGATATGATTCACGCTGTGCCGGAGTAGTTGTGGCGGTTTCGATCTGGGGTTGTCTAGATCGACACTCGCCGGCCCGGTGTGATCTTGGCCTGGGGTTGCCTTGTGGTCGGTGTATGACCTTCCTTTCCTTTCCTTGCTTGCCGCTTCCTCTAGCGGTGGGTCGAAGTGAGGATTGACGGACGCAGGGCCAAGCTATCATGGCGTCCGAGGTTCCTTGATCTTGGGGTGTAAGTCGACTTGCGTAGCGTCGGGTCGGCCAAAGTATATCCCGTGCCCGGTATTGCCAAGGCGAAGACCACTTGTGAAGAAGCAGGTAAAATCAACTCTGTTTTAAACGTTAGCTTTGCCTAAGGCCTCTGTCCTACCGTTCTCCTGCTCTCATATGGTCCTAGCGCGTGCTATCTAGCTCCCTTGAACATTGGTGGTGGCGCTGGCTCTGTGTCTGGGTCCGCGTAATCCATGGGGCCGAGATCATCACTCTTCACCGAGATCGACGTCATCCCTGTCAATACCGATCAATGTCGATCTCTATCATATTTGACGGGGTCACTCTTCTGAGATCGATGGCATTCTAACGAGAGATCTCATTTGATCCAGATTGATGGGTCCGGCCACTTCGGCAGATTTCTCCCACCGCTTCATCACAGTCGTCCTCGGGCATTCGCGCGCTGCACTCGTTTCCTCCATCTTATGTCTTCATCTGCCGGCGCGCCAGCGTCAGGCGGGTCACAGCTAGATCGAGCACCGCCGTCTCCTCCTGGCCCTGGCCGCGCTTCACCAACCCGCCCAGAATCGTCTGCGCCACCCTCGCCCCCAGCAACACCGCCGCCCGGCCATCGGCGGGGCCGGAAACGGCCCGTCCTCGCTCGCCTTCGCCCAGATCATCCGAAGCTGGGTCACCGGATACTATGTCGTCGTTGACCGGTTTGGCTCTCCTCGCGGCTGCGGCAGATCCCCGCGTACGAGATTCCACCGACGTCGAAGTCTCCGATGCCGGCGATCCCGCTGACCGTCCGCCCCCATGCGTTGTGTGCGTGCAGATCGCCGTCGCTCCAACTGTCCGCCTGGATCGACCACACCTGGATCGCACGCTAATCTACAACTCGCTGCGGTCGATCCGAGCGTCGCTTCAACAAGTCGAGCAAGCTGTCGCACAGGGCGGCGCCGACGACCAGCTGCAGGATGAGCGCACAGAGCTTCAGCGTGCCCACACCGTCGTCATCCGCCATTCCGCGGGTAGGGAACAGCCAATCGCGCTGTTTCCGTCTAACGCAGGCTGGATTAGCTTATTCCGCCTTAACTCGGCCTAACCATCGCCGCTCCTAATTCGGCCACGAATGGGCGACCCGGAATTAACATGGGAATTAGCTAACTCGGGGCATAATTAAGGTGGATTAGGGATTAGAGTTAAGCCAGAATTATCACGGCAGAATAAGTATACAATATAATAAGTGCTGCAAATTACTCAACGATTGAGACATCCCCATGGCCGAGTGGCTGCTGATGAACCGAGCCGCACATTTTGTTGCGGTTGACAGGCATTTTGACGCGTTGAAATGGCTGGCGGAGAGGGGGCAGCTTTTGGAGATGGTGGGCTTCGTGGCATGTGCCGCGGGAAAGGGGCACCTTGACATTGTGCGCTGGCTCATTGAACAGTATCCGTCGATTATCACTCGCATGGGCGCTGATGGTAGAATTTTTCTGTGTCCATATTCTGACATGACATGGATTTGGATCTGGCCCTCCCCAATACAACAACCAAGATAGTCCCGGTGCAGCAAATCGTACATATGCGAACAGGATAGGCGACGTCGATTGCAGCGACGTAGCATGACAGTGTGAGCAGCGCTAACTGCTAGCTTGTTTGCTGCATGCACAAGGTTTGGACACCAAGCAAACCTCACAAGGTTGTATGAGTAGGTGGCAGGCAAGGTGAAGCCAATGGGCCCGTTACCTCATGTGTTTATCTGGACCCCGGTCAACATAAAGTCAGATTCAGCAGAAAAGTGGGTCATCCCTCCCACAATCTTCAGACCAAACGCCATGTCATGTCAGAATAAGACCATAAAAAAAAGCTTACCAGCGCTGATAGCCACTTTACGCTTGATGATGCTGAGGGCGGTCTGTGCGTCCATATTGCTGCTGTCAACGGGCACCTTCAGGTTGCCAAATATCTCCGTGCACGACAGCAAGAGGCTCTCAGGAACGTGCAACCGATCGTTTATCAAGAACAGCGCACCCAAGTTGTTGAAGTTTCGAGGGTCATTTCTTCGTGGGATAAATTTGCCAACGTGTCGTGGAAGACGATGGCAAGGATAGGAAGAGAGACGAAGAGATCAAGCGAACACCACCACAATGCCCGAAAGCCGCGATGAACCGTCCAGCGGGTAATGGTCACTTAAACGTCGTGCTGGCTTCACCATAACCGGACGGAGGGGTGCTCTACCGATGCGATCGATGAGGCTGCCAGGAATGGTCATCTGAAGGTAGTCCAATGGCTGTATCAGAATCGAACGGAGGGGTGCAGAACCAAGGCGATGGGTATGCTGCTGAAAACGGACACCTTCATGTGGTGAAGTGGCTGCACGCTAACACAAGTGTTGGCTGTACAACGGACGCTATGGGTTATGCATCGGTCTGAGGGCTGCACCGTTGTGGCCATGGACGACGCTGCTCGAAGTGGTGCTCTGGAGGTCGTCAAATGGCTGCATTACAACCGAAGCGAGGGGTGCACGGCAGAAGCAATGGGCGATGCAGCATACAAAGGTCAGTATCGAGTCGTGAAATGGCTTCACACTCACCGCACCGAGGGTTGTTCCGATAAAACGATTAGCTACGCTGCGCACGAAAGTCAATTTGAGGTGCTGCTCTTCTTGCACACGCAACGAGCTCAAGAGCTGACGGCTGAAGGTGCAGCAGAATCCTTGGAGCATGCGTGCATGGATCCGTGAACGCTATCCACAGTTCTAGGCTGCAGCTGGTCACTGGACATGGCTTCATAATGATTTCCTAGGGATTTAACTGGGCGTCCCTTCATGAATGTACGGAAACCTGTGATTTCGGCGAATTTAACTCTTCAATGAGAGGAACATCGCCGTTGAGACCGGCATGGATAGAAAGCCCTGCATCTAGCTTGGGTAATGCCGCTGTATGAAGCGCTAAATGTGTGTAGATCTCGAGCGATTTATCCTCAAAGTTGGCGTTGCCTGGCGCCTCTGTGATGTTTCTTACCGTTATTTATGCAGAATATAAAAAGCTATATGTATTTGTGTGACCTTTCCGGTTGGGATGAAAGATTGCGAATTACTAGCGATAAGATGACTGACAAATAGTAAAGGGGGCTACGCTCCATGTCCTCGTTGCCGAACGGGACAAGAAAAGGAGAAGCCACTTTGGCATTACTCCTTTGATGGACATATTAGTAGATGTGCAAAGTTTCAGCATTCCTAGACTCGCCAGGAAAAACCGAATTTATTCTTTTCCCGAGACCCCGTACATTGTTGAAGGGACGTCCAGTTAAAATCAACCTCCCTCCTGTCCGCTCACTATTCTCGTCTCTCTGGGCTCCTCAAAGATCGCACAACACACCATGGGTCTTGCTGCCTCCTCCGAGCGCCGCCCGGTCTTCTACTTCATCGGGGACTCCATCACGGAGCAGGCCAGCGACCCGAGCAAGTCTGGCTTCGTCACCCTCCTTCAGCAGCACTATGTGCGGTCTGTCGACACGATCAACCGCGGTCTCTCAGGCTACAACACTAAGCAAGTGTCTCTTCACCACTACAGCCTGCTGTAATCAAACCTACACTAAGAGTGTCATTATTGCCGCAGGTGGGTGCTGCAACATGGCATGCCGATCTTCTCCAAGGAGCTCCAGTTCCAGTACTCAGCCTCGTTCGTCACGGTGTTCCTCGGAGCCAACGATGCGATCGTGGACGGCCCTGACAAAGTTGTCCATGTGCCACTGGAAGACTACCGAGCCAATCTCCAGAAGATCCTGCACATTGTTCGACCGGTGCTGGCTCCACACGGCCAGATCCTGCTGATCACCCCGCCGTGCATCATCGACTCGGAGCGTCACGGGGATCGCACCAATGCTGCGGCTGAAAAGTACGCTCGCGCGTGTGTTGAGCTCGGGGAGGCCGAGAATGTGCATGTGCTGGACTTGCACACTTACTTCAACACGACGTTCCCCGATGTAAACGTTCGTCGGACGTACTTCGTGGACGGACTGCACTTCTCAGCTAAAGGCCACAAGGAGGTGGGGAAGTTGCTGGCCATCGCTATCAATGGGATGTTTGACAAAGAAGATCTTGATCGCTTCAACAAGTGGCAGCTTCCGGACTGGCACGATTTCATTCACTAAGACGTTTCTAGACAGAACTCGTGTGAAAATAATGGGCTTATTCTCTGCAATTCGGTGAATGAGAAGTATGACAATGCAAGCATCCGATTTGTGCTTCATGGAAGTAAGGTAGCAGAGGAAAATAAAAGGTTTTCATTGCTCTGGCACTCACTCGCTATCCGTGTCAACTTGAATATCTGGATAGTTAGCAACGATCCAGTTGAAAACGTCAATAGATTCAGCATCTCGGGCCATCAACGCAGTATTCGCGGTGCATTTTGCAATGTCGTGCAGAAAGAGGAACACGTTGATCTGGTTGCCCCACGCCGCAGGCTGAATTCGCGTAGGCATTCGATCGATGAGCTTGAAGCCATCTCACTACTCTTAGATGGCCTCGTGCTGCTGCTAGCTCCATCGCCTTCTCAGTGCAGCCTTTCGATCGGTTATCATGCAGCCATTTAAAGACGTTCAGAAATCCACTCCACGCTGCTCAATCCATGGCCGCAGGTGTACATCCCTCGCGCCGATGGTCAAGTCTACCGCCTTGGGTTAACCACTTCAAGATGTCAAGACGCCCTCGAGCCGCCATTTCGTGTCCGATGTTATCGCCAGGAAAGGGCCGACGCCACTGTGCTCCATGGTCGATCAGCCACTCAGCCATGACGATGTCCTCCTTGAGCACTGCCTGCATCAACGCCTCTGCCTTGTTAAAGTCTTCATTGGGGAAATGTTGCTGTAGCCACCAGACGATGTCGTTGCGGCCCTCTGAGATCGCTTCCGCCATTGTGTTTTGGTCCCATTCCACATGGCGAACGCCGTACTTGTAGCTGTCAATGAGTTGCAAGACTTCAATTGAAATGGTGCTCATCGTTTCCAGAACCACTTTCCCATCGATAACAGCAATGTCTTCGAACTTATCCAGCAGCCACCGAACCAACTCCAGATTTTCCAGCTCAATCGCTTCAATGAACGAGAATTGAAGCTTGGTCTTGCAATAAAATCTGTCGGTGCGGATGTATCTGCGGAGAGTCCATGGCAGCTTTTCGGGAAGCTCCTTATTTTCGGTAGCGAAGATGTCGCTGGAGCTCCAGATTCGGTCCAGGAGCTTTAGGGAGTCGAATTCGCAGGCCCTATCGAATGGGAGCTCCACCGACGAGTCCAGGAAGAGCGAGACGGCGTCCACCGCGTGAGACCGAGAGAAGAACTTGGCCTTGGACCGGAAAACCAGCGTCACGGCCAGCAGCGGCTCCGGGTCGTCATTGAGGAGATTCGGTTTACCAGGTTATGTAACCGGTTACACTTATAACCAATGATTGAATAGAATCTCAATAATCGATTGATGTGCCCGACAATTGCTTCTACAATCATTGCTAAATTGTAATTCCCGATTACCAACAATGGACGAGGAGGCCAAGCTGGCGCCGTTGCTGGCCGTGCGGCTCCTGTTCCGCTCCAAGGGCCAGTTCGTGGACCTGCCGCACGTCACCGAGGCCGTCTCTCTCTTCCTGGACTCGTCGGTGGAGCTGCCCCTGCACAAGGCGTGCAAGCGCGACTCCATCCCGCTGCTCGACCGACTCTGGGCCAGCAGCCAAGTGTTCGTGAACAATATCGCGGCAGAAGACGACGCTGAAGATGAAACTTACGAACAAGGAAAAGGAAATTTCACGTTGAGAAAGTTTCTGCGTACCGACCGGCACTACAAGCAATTTCAGTTTACGAAGTCGCTGTTTGTGGCCATCGATGACAAAAATCTGGAAATGGTCAAGTGGCTGCTGGACAAATTTCAGGGTTGCGTCGTGCGGCAGGAGGTGGTGTCTGAGGCCTGTATCATCGGCTCGGTCGAGATGTTGCGGTTGTTCCACGACAACGACAACAGCTCACTGGACGAGAATGTTCGAGTTGAAGGCGTGGGGGTGCGGGTGGACTGGGGGCCCACTTGAAGAAAGCGGTCGCGGCAGGTCATAGTGATGTCGCCTGGTGGCTGGTCCAGCACCTGCCGAATGTACAGCACAATTTCGCCAGGGCCTTTCACTATGCCGTGTTCAATGGGGACGTGCTGGTTGCTGAGTGGTTGATATCTCAAGGCGCGGAGTGGCCAAATGACCCTCGAGGGCTCTGTGCTGGCCACCATCTTGCGGCAACCGGACGACTCGACGTTTTGAAATGGCTGGACGATAAGAAGCAGCTTGGTACGGCGCTAGGATATGTGGCGAATGCTGCGGAGGGTGGACATCTGGATGTTGTGAGGTGGCTGATCGAGCGCGATACTCGGAACAGCAGGGATGCGTCCAAGGGCCGAATGACGGAGCTGGGAGGTCAAGCCAGTCTCTCAATCCATGTTGCTGCCGCCAATGGGCACCTGCATGTGGCGAAATATTTGCGAGCACAAGCAAAGGCGCCATCAAGCCTACAGTATGCGCTCCAGGCTCAGAAGCAGCGGTGTTTATTTCAGCATTTGAGACAGCAACTTGGTCGGTATAACCGATCGGCGTTAATTTCGTGGAAGACCATGGCGGAGGCGGCTGGAAAGGGATACCTTGACGTTGTGCAGTGGCTCTATTATGAGTTTGATCCTGATCCAGAAGTTGATCTTTTCGATTACGACCAAACCCAACCGCGGTACACTTTTTCCAACATCGTAGCGATGGATAGCGCTGCCCAGAACGGTCACCTAGACGTGGTCAAGTACCTGCATCAAGTCCAACTTGCAATGCAGGCAAGTTCCAAGAAGCGCAAGAGAGACCAAACCAAGCAGAAAAGTACCCCGGCTTGTACGAAGGATGCCATGGACGGCGCAGCTGAAAATGGACATTTGGAAGTTGTCCAGTGGCTTCATAGCAACCGCTCGGAGGGATGCACTTAGGCGGCTATGGATAGAACAGCGGCAAACGACCACCTCAATGTAGTGCAGTGGCTGGATGTCAACCGTGGAGAGGGATGCTCTACTTCAGCTATGGATGGTGCGGCTCGGAATGGACAGCGTGGTATGTTGAAGTGGCTTCACAAAAACTCCACTGTGGGCTGTACTGCGATGGCTATGAGTGATGCAGCGACAGCGGGTCATCTCGAAATCGTGAAGTGGCTGCATCAGCAACGTGCAGCAGATTATACGAATACGGCAATGTACGGCGCAGCAATGTTTGGTCATCTGGATATCGTCAAGTGGTTTCATAGAAATCGTCCGGGTGCCTGCAAGGGCGAGATGAACAAGGCAGCTGAAGGAGGCAAGCTAAAGCTGCTGAAGTGGCTGTATTCGAACTGTTCCAAGCACAAAGTCACTTTTGGCGTTGACGAGGCGGTTAGATGCAACTACTTCGAGGTGGTTTTGTTTCTGCATTCGCAATGCGGGGTCGAGTGCTCCGAAGAAGCTGCGAGAGCGACGATTGATGACAGAGAGGAAGTAGACATTCGCGCTTGGCTCCTCGAGCGATATCCTGGATTCGAGGATGTAGTAGAGGATGAAGAAGCGTTCAACTAACTCAGCGACGACTCTTGTCAACGAGATCCAATACTAAGTACATTTTAGCATAGAAAGCTTGGCGTTTTTATTAGTATTTTCTTTTGGTTTTTGATGCAGTAGCCAATTTTCGAAGATATCACTCCAGCAAACCGACTTCAAGCGGGATACAGCTAATGCAGCTAGCTACTTACACGAAAATGACCAATGACACATTCCAAGCAATATAACTATGCCAATAACTTAAAAATCGGAGTGTCTGCACGTTCTTTAGGTGGGCCGAAGATGAGTGCTGCTGCATGTACGAACAGTCAAATTACCAACAGGTGTGCAAACACCAACCATGTCAAGTTCGAGCAATACAGTGGCGTGACTAAACAGCGCAGCTTGTTTAGTCACAGTCCGAGCAGATGACCGGCAAGAGAAAAAAAAAGCGCTGTAGCAAAACAACTGGTATTTGGACAAAGGTATTTGCTACAGTATCGACTCAACGTTTGTGTTGCCAACCACTGTTAAGGTCGTGGTGAGCTGTAACTCAGTGCACCTCACCTCATCAAAAAGGTCGCACAGCTATGATTGCTAGGTACGGAAATATTACGTCACGGACCCGGTGTTCCGCAAGCACAACTTGGCACTGTCAGGCAGCCACTATCTCATTCCAGTCTCCATTCCACAACTTCTGGCGTACCTCCAAAGCTCCCACTGGAAATGTACTTGCACGTTCTCAGCCCTCCTAACGCTCTATCGCTGAGTGACGAGCTCATCTGCGACGTCAAGCAGCGTACTGGACGAGCTCGGGTCAACTCAACGGCTAAAGTCACCAGTGCAAGGCGGGGCGAAACCAACGTCGACGTTCCAGCGACTGCAGCTGCTGTTCCCCCCGCAACAGCGCGAGTTGCCCATAGCGCTTCATCGTCGACTCGTAGCCGCAGGTCATGCCTCCCGTCCGACCTGAAGACAGCAAGGAACATCATCTCTACTATCAAGGCGGCCAACCACCAGATTGACGTCGAGATGCAACACGCCATCGTCGCCGAAGCGCTGAAGAAGAAGATCCGTCACCGAGAACGCTGCCGTGTGAACCAGGCTCGCTACAGGAAGAAGCAACTCGAGGTCGAAGCTTCCGTCCAAAATGCCATTGCCAAGCTGCGGCATGAGATCCAAGGTCTGCAATCAAGGTGCAACGATCCCTCCCGGGTGCCAACGTCGCCGACCCCATGGGGCGTTGCAGGCAGCTACTTTCGTCATTTCAACTACGTCTTAGCGCGGCCTGGAAGTCGACACGAAGTCGCGTTCGAGTTCTTGCGCCAGGTCATGGCTCATGACGTGGTCGATGGCTCTGTATCTGGAGTGGACGCAGAGATTGAAAACTGGAGGCGCTTTGCCCTTTACTTTGGCAATACTCAGGTGGAGCTCCGAGGTATGAAGATGCCGGCTCAGCACACATTGGTCGCTGGCACGACAACGACAGTGACTATCACTTGGGATACTCTACAGTTCGCGTTCCCACACCTCAACTCGGACGGGAAGGGCGGGACTCAAGGAGGTGCTTGGTCACCAATCGCTAGACGAATCCTCGGCCAACGCCTTGTCGTGCACGGGTCGGCGCTCTTCGGCTGGGACGATACGAGCGACAAAATGGTGAGATTCCAGATGCAGATGGATCTGTTGACCCCGATGCTGAATCTGCTGGGCAGTTTGGAGGTTGTGTCGCTCGTCTTCAGCAGGGCTCTCATTACTCCAGATTTCAGGTTCATTTGATGAAAGAATGCTAGCTCAAATTCCCTTTTATTACAAAAAAATCTATACATTTACGCATGAAGCTGGTAGAACCGTACATATCTCTATTGCCGCCGTCCCTCCGTGCGAGCTATGTGATGTATTTACGTGACCTGCACTAGGGCTCGTGCTGCAGCGCTACTCAACGGTCTCTCTGCGTCGGATTGTGTGCGCTTCACTTCCACAGACTGGAGGGATGATCCAGTACGGATATCGAAGAAGATGTATGGTACGATGACTTGGAGATGGTAACTCGCGGTGCCGTAATACGGAAATGGTAGTCCAGACAGACATTCATGAACGGGTTCTTCCTCGCTATCCCGAATATCGATCTGCGATAGAAGCAGAATATGGGGACCACGAAGAGTGCGAAGTCTTACGGAATATTGTCGATGAGGTAGGTACCTCTACGCCGCAACAGCAAGATCTCTGCATTTACGCTAGGATACCGTAAAATAAATGGTTTTCATCACCATTTGCAGATATCCGTCGTATACCGTGACTTTCAGTACTCATCGTTGCAGTTTGCTGCCAACATTCGTATTGCAATGCATTCACTTCACGAGCTCCAAGTGTCCATTGGTTGCAGCGCGATAGTCTTCGGACCGGTGTTCATGGATCCATTGGACAACATCTAGGGGTCCGCTTAACACTAAAGGTTAAGTGCATTCTAAGGTGAAGCTAATACAAAAACTGAGTCAGGATTCTACCGTTTCTGCGAACTCGCTAGCGTCGAAGACTACGCTATAGGATACCGACATTAAATCTATCCCATCGTCGAAGTAAGACTTCACAACAGGGAACCGGGTATTGGTAGCACAAAACCACAGCTTGCCTACAAATTTGTGTGTTTTGGCTAAAAATCCTGAGTTCTGGTCTTTTAACACTCCTTCTCGCTAACTAACAAAGCCGACGCGAGCTAGGGTTTCCGTTGAAAAGAGAACCCTCCCATTAACTTGAATTTACCCTTCTTGAGATGCTGAAATTCTTCAAGGAACATGAAATTCCTGGAAAGATGGGCGACGGTCGAGACGAAATTGAGGCGAATGAGGGCAACGTGGTTCGCTGGGGACGGCATGGCATGGAGGCGGCGGCGGAAAACAAATCATTTCCATATTTGTTGGTGGTTACACAAGCATGGGCGGGCCCCGCGCTACTTGAATGGATTTATGAGCTCCGCAGCACGAGATGGGAACTTGCTGATGCTCGAGTGGATTAAAGCAACTTGCGTGAGATCAATGTTGGTGTTCGCGGATTTACTGATGTCTTGTCGCCTGAAAGCAATAGGAGGAGGGCAACCTGTAGTGATGGAGTGGCTGTTGGAAAATGGCTATGCGGCAGCAATGGACCGATCTAGCGCCATTTTAGCAGCGCTCAAAGCAAGTCGAGTTGATGCTCTGGACTGGTTAACCGAACGGAAGTTGGTGGAAGCTGGCAGCGTGATGGAGATAGCAGCACGGGAGGGGTATCTTGACGTCGCAAAAGACTTTTACACTTGCTACTGGCATAAAATTTGTGCGGATTCTGGATTCCCGACGACATCCTTATCGATATTTAACGTTCATGGGCCGCGCCTCTTCCCGCTGTGGATCACTACGGATACCATGATTGCAGCTGTGCATGGCGATCGACTGGACGTGGTGCAATGGCTCTTTGAGACGTTCCAGTACGCGGTGGACCTGTTTGTGGCGGAGGAGTTTTACGCTAGGCATATAATCGATGTCGCATCAGCAAGCGGCAAACTGGAGATTGCGAAGTACTTGCACGAGGTTGCCACTCTGTTCAATCGGAGCACGAGGGGAAAGCGGAAACGCAGCAAGACAATGTGTGGGAACGGTCCGACGTGCTCACCAGCAGCAATGGATAAAGCTGCTGCGAAGAACCGTTTAGATATGGTGCAGTGGCTTCATACCGTTCGGAAGGAAGGCTGTACTACGAGGGCAATGGATGACGCTGCAGCGTATGGCTTCCTAGAGGTGGTGCTGTGGCTGCATGCGCACCGATCAGAAGGCTGCACAGCAAGTGCAATTGATGGAGCAGCAGCAAACGGACATTTGGAGGTGTTGAAATGGCTAGATACGCATCGGTCAGAAGGCTGCACAACTACAGCGATTGATCGAGCAGCAGCAAACGGGCACTTAGAGGTGGTGCAATGGCTCTATACTCATCGAGCGGAAGGGTGCACGACCGCAGCGATGGACGGCGCTGCTCAGGACGGACACTTGAAAGTTTTGATTTGGCTACACGAGAACACTAGCGCTCACTGTACGACTGAGGCTATGGATATGGCTGCCATGATGGGTCATTTAGATGTTGTGCAGTGGCTACATCACAGCCGGAGCGAAGGATGCACTGTCAAGGCGGTAGACCAAGCCGTCCGTTTCGACCATGGGTGGCTTCTCACAAATCGACTTGAAGGCTGTTCGTCCAGTGCAATAAGCTCCGCAGCCTGTAAAGGTTGGAAACCGTTCGATGGTTCCATGAGCACCTCAGTGAAGAATTCACAAGTGATACGATGGATCGTGCCGCTGGGTGGGATAATTTTTGATGTGGTTGTTTTATTCCCAGCGCTGTGAAGGCTGTTCGTCAGAAGCATTCTATGGCAAACGGGATCTTTTCGAGCAAATGCACACTGTATTCAAAGACGACGCTGGCAACAACATTTCTGATTGGCGTTGTGAGCTCTACCCCGAAGCCCGACAATTGTAGGGCAAGACTGCAGTTGCCGTCGTTGAACATAGGCTGCATGATTCTTTAGTTATATATTGTCCCTTCCGGCTTGAACTGACCAGCCGTGTAATATTTGCCCGCCACTATTGAGTGTACGTGTACAACCTTGTCGCATTTAGGTTCCGCGGTAAGGTTGCGTGGGGATCTTTCGTTCCTTACCGAGTTTAGAGCTCTCGACATATTCATATACATCATGTGGACGGAAGGGTCCGCTAAATGCTAAGCAAATACACTCACGCTTCGATCGCATCGCCGAACAAGTAGCAATCGAAGTCAGCACGGGAACCACACTGTCGCCATAATTGTTTTTTATTTACATAGTACAGTACTTAGCAACTGTAGTATAATAGATGAAGGACTTGCGAGCTTGATTCCAAGTGAGATCTTCGTCGGCTGTTCGGAAGTCTAAGTCCCGCATCAACAGCAGACGGCAAATTCAGTGGTGCACTTGCAGTATAGTCTTCCAAAACTGCACTAGCTGTACGCAAGCTGTGGGATAACTATTTTTTGTGTTTCGTTTGTGGTTACCAAATGCGTAGTGGCCACTTTAGTCCTGACCATGTTCTGCTTCAACTGCCTCCCGATATTCTGGATAGCGCTGGATAATCCACTCATGGATCTCTGGACTCCCATTTTCGTAAGATTGCACCGCGATTTTAGACGTGTATTTCTCGTGGCGCTGGTAGTGCAAGAACAATACCACCTCAAAGTTATTGCACAATGCAGCTTCTTCGATAGCTGGGACTGAGCACTCCTGTGATCTGTGGACGTGGAGCCACTCTACTATGGGCAGATGTCCATTGTATGCCGCTCGAGTCATAGCTTTCTCGGAACAACCTTCATTGCGATTCCTGTGCAGCCATCTCACGACGGGCAAAAATCCATTCTCGGCAGCACCATCCATTGCTGTAACTGTGCACCCCTCGGTGCGACAAGCATGTAGCCATTTGACAATCCCCAGGTGTCCATTCGTCGCGGCTCCATCGATCGCTTTCGCAGTGCAACCAGCGTTCGTGTTGGCATACAGCCATTGCACGACATTCAAATGTCCATTGGTGGCAGCTTCATCCATCGCCTTCGTTGAACAACGAGCCTTCGTATTACGATGCAGCCACTTCACAATGTCCAGGTGTCCATTGGTTGCAGCGCTATCCATCGCCTCTGTCTGCGAGCAGCCTTCAGATCGGTGTTCATGTATCCATTGGACAACTTCGAGGTGTCCGTTTCTCGCAGCAGCATCCATTGCACGCGTAGTACACCCCTCCATTCGGTTACGGTGAAGCCACTTCAGGACGTCGAGGTGGCCTGCAGCAGCAGCTCCGTCCATCGCATAGTTGCCAACGTAATATCCCCGTTCGCCACTGCCTTTGTCAGTGCTTCACTCATGTCGTGTTGACTATAGCGGACGTATCGATGAAGCCACCACACAATGTCGCTACGGCGATTGGAGGCCGCACATTTGCTCGCCCACTGCCACTCGATTCGATGCCCCACACCTGGAGTTCGACTGTTGCCCGGCGTATACCACGGGGCGTCCGTCCCCGTATCAACGTCGCGGAAGAACATCAAAATGGCCATTAGTCCCAAGTCGACAGCGCGGGCAACAACATTCTTCGAGACCAGGCAGCCTTGGAACCGACGAGAAATCCACTTGACCATTTCCAGATTTTTGAGCTTGATAGCCTCCAACAGGCACAGATTGAACTGGTACGCTCGGTAGTGGCGGTCTGTGGGGATGTATTTCTGGAGAGTCCAAATTTGGTCCTTTGCGCGCCCGGGATCATCGACGAAAACTTGGCTACTGTTCCAGATTCGGTCAAGCAGTCTGAAGGACCCAAATCGGCACGCTCTGTGGAGGGGGAGCTCCATAGAAGAGTCCAGGAAGAGGGAGACGCTGTTGACAAGGTGGGGGAGCGAGAGGAACTCCACCTTGGAGCGGAACAACAGCGTCACCGCCGTCATTCAGATAATGGTTACTAAAATCACAAATATTTTGACACGACTATTTTAATGTTTTTATAGGGACCATATTTAAATGCGGACTATTTTATTGAGCATTACGACGCTAGGAGCTTAGGACGCACACATTCTTCCACCACGCACGCTCAACGCTGACTACTCATCTCTGGCGTCTGGGTAGTGTTCGACCAGCCAGTCGTAGATGTTGTCAGAAGGTGAATCGTCTACCGCATATCTCAAGTTGTCGAACAGGTCGCTCTTGGCGGATTCGCGGAACACATCTTCCGAGCAGCCTTCGCGTCGTTGACTATGGAGAAACAAAATGACATCGAATTCTCCGCACCCAGCCGCGTTATCGATTGCAGCACTCGTGCACCCCTCGCTGCGGTGTTCATGGAACCAGCGAACAATCTCCAAACTCTTCATCGCTGCAAAATCCATTGCACTCGATGAACAGCCTTCAGATCGATTCGCCAGAAGCCATTTCACCACGTGCATCTTGCCCTGAATAATGGCTTGGGTCACCGCGTTGACAGTGCAGCCTTCACTTCGATTGTGATGCAACCACTGAACAACGTCCATATGTCCGTCCATAGCAGCGTAGTCCATCGCTCTGGTCGTGCATCCTTCTCTTCGATGCGCGTGGAGCCACTGTACAACGTGTAAATGCCCGTTTGATGCGGCCGTATCCATCACATTAGTTGACCAGCCGCCGGGCCGATGTAAGTGCAGCCACTGTAATATCTCCAAGTATCCGTGCCTCGCTGCAAACTCTAGTGCCTCGGCAGTACAGCCTTCCTTGCGGTTCGCGTGGAGCCATTGCACTACAGGCAGATGATTAAATAAAACTGGATAGTCCATCGCAGCTGTTGAACACTCCGGCCCAACCCCAGACATCGTCTTGCCGCGTTTCCGCTTTCTACCCGTGTTCTACGTGAACAGAGTAATAATACCATGCAGGTATTTTACGAGCTCGAGGTTGCCACCTTCCGAAGCGACGTAAAGTATATCCCTCGGCGAATAATTGGGCGAAAAAGTTCACTGCACAATTAAACGTGTCGAAGAGCCACCGTACAGCATCCAGTCGACCGCTTCTCACGGCACAAATCATGGTACCCGCACTGATCCACAGCGACTTCCGACTCGGCACTGAGGGCTCCATAGGGAAATCAGGCTGCGCGCATATCTCGTGCCAGTACCAAGCGTAGTAGTCTTTGGCCACATCAAGACGGTCGTCCCCCGCAGCAACCTCCATCACACGGCCAGCTTCCACCAGTTTACGCTCTGTCAACCAGTCGAGGATGTCAAGGCGATTCGCTTTGAGAGCTGCATATATGGCACTGTGCCGGTCCATTCTTGTCGCATGTCCATTTTCCAGAAGCCACTCCATCACAACGACTTGTCCTCCTTTTATCGCTTCCGCCATGAAATATTTCCGATCTGACGCCAATAATTCAGCAGTTAATGCAATCCGCCCAACTTCCGGTAAGCGGCGTCGACGCGCAAGGAACTTCGCTTGGATCCACTCGAGCATCAGCAGATTTCCGCTTCGTAGCGCAGTTTTCATCACGTTATTCAAGTAGCGAGGCGAGGAGCAGGCGCGTACTTGAACAGCCACCAGACAACGTTGAAGTGGTTATTCTCCGCCGCCGCCTCCATGTCATGTCGTCCCCAGCGAACCACGTGACCCTCTCCAGCTTTGATATCGTCTCGATCCTCGCCCAACGTTCCAGGAACTTCATGTTCCTTGAAGAATTTCAGCATCTCCAAATGTCCGTGGCCTGCAGCTGCTCTCACAGCTCCGAAAGGCACGATACAGCCGTGGAAATGGCCGTAGAACCACTGCACTATCTCCATGCCCTTGTCCTTCTCTTCGATGCTCGCAGTTTCGATGGCGCCGCATCGGAACTGGAACCGGTTGTAGTGTTTGTCCGTGCGCAAATATTTGCGTCTGGCCCATTTTCCGATTGAAATCTGTGACGTGTGATAAGATGTCTGTGACGTGTGAGAATTAGACACGTTCCACTCCAGACACCAACTATGCCGGCGTACTCACCGCCGCGCCTGAACGCCGATGTGGAGATGAAATTGTGCACTCGCACCTTGATCCGTCTGCTGAACCGCGTCCGGAAGAATTTCCTGCCCGAATTAGAGCCGTATCCAGTTGAAATGGGCCAACGGATGTATTAGTCCTGACGTAAGTATCACACAGCTGCATGTCATGGGAGGTGGAGGGAGAACTGCAAGCTTCAACACGACGAGTCGGAGGCCGACACATGAGAGATGCATTCCTGGGTGACAAAGTTCATGCTATGCTTGGGGGGGGTATCATGATGTAGCAGATGCGGTTATCGGAATGTACCAGACTTCGGTTCTGTACTGTAGCTCTACAGGAACATTGGGCGCCTTGCGCAATGAAGATAGTGTTGCATTAAATCGTATTCAACGGAGATGTAATGGAGCTGAAGTGGTTCCGAGACAAACATCGTATTCCAGGATTCGGCCCAGACTTTGAGGAAAAGGATTGTAAGTGGAGGAGCAAGATGCTGGTGTGGAGGGCGACCAATTACAGGTAGTTCAACGTGTGGGCGACTAAGGAGGAGAGGAGAAAACGCGATCGAATTTCTGCGAGGAATCTCCCCGCGGATTATATTGGGGACGTTATCTTGCTTGTTTTTCTCGAGCCTTTGCTACCAACTTCAGTTGAGTTTGACGGTGCAAATATGTTCATTCCTTACAGAAAGAAATCAAAAACAGAGTATGATCGTAAATAACCCACATGACCGGAGATTCCTACTACCTAACAAACGTATCGTCCGGGGTGATGGAAGCCTTGCTGAAGACGAGCAATACATCTTCCAGATTGCCCAGCAGATTGAGCATCGGAGTCAGCAGATCCATCCGCATCTGGAATCTCACCACTTTGTCGCTCGTATCATCCCAGCCAAAGTGCATCGACCCGTGCGCGAGAAGCTGCCGACCGATGATTCTGCTAGCAATGGGCGACCAAGCACCTCCTTGAGTCCCGCCCTTCGCGTCGGAGTTCAGGTGCGGGAACGCGAACTGTAGGGTATTCCAAGTAACAGTCACTGTAGTTGTTATGTCAGCGACCAATGTGTGCTGAGATGGCATCTTCATACCTCGAAGCTCAATGTGAGCATTGCCAAAGTAGAGAGCGAAGCGCCTCCAGTTCTCACTCCGTGCGTCCACTCCACATACGGAGCCATCGACCACGTCTGGGGCCATGATTCCACGCAAGAACTCCGACGCAGCGTCGTATCCAGTCCCAGGACGCGCTAAGAAGTAGTTGAAGTGACGGAAGTAGTCGCCCACAACGCCCCATGGAGTCGGAGATGCTGGTAACCGGGAAGGATCGTTGCACTTCGCTTCTAGATCTTCGATCTCTTTCCACAACCTCTCAATGGCATGTTGAATATCAGCTTCGAGCTCGAGTTGCCTCTCTCTTTGGCGAGCCTGGGTCACACGGCAGCGTTCTCGGTGGCGAATCTTCTTTTTCAGCGCCTCGGTGACGATTGCGTGCTGCAGCTCGACGCCGATCGGGTGGTTGGCCGCCTTGATAGTAGATAAGACCTTCCTCGCTGTCTTCAGGTCGGAACGGAGACAGGATCGACGACTACGAGCCGATAGTGAAGTGCGATGGGCGGTTTGCTCTGTCGCTGACGCCACGACATTTACAGCCACGGACACGTTGGTGTTGGCCTCTCCCCATGTCGCTTGGATGGCTTCAGCTGTCGAGTTGACTCGAGAGGCCCCTGTACGCTGTCTAACGTCGCAGATGAGCTCGTCACTCAGCGTTAGAGCGTTAGGTGGAATGAGAACGTGGGCGTCCATTCCGGTTGGAGAGTTGGGGGAGCGCTGAAAGCTGCGGAATGACAGGTTGAATGAGCTAGTGGCTGGCTGACAGTAAAGGGAAACCAAGTATGCGAATTGATATTTCGGTTCTTAGCGATCACAGCTGGGCTACCGATGGGATGCACTGAACTGTGTATGAGGTCACTACTCATCACGGACCTTGAAACATTTGACCGCATCGATCAGTGTTCGCACAAACCCTAACCGTATATCTAACACTAGCGCTTGCAAACGGTTAGTTAGTGCTAGTGTACTCCACTAACATGCTGATTCTACTGGACACTAACTAACAGTTAGTTGAAAACTACACATGTCAGCTACACTGTATAGTGGAGGAAATGGGTACCTGAGGAGATTACTTAGTAATCTGTACGAAAGCATATTTACTAGCTGGTCTGGGTGTCTATATTGCACCGCGGACTTTGACATAGGTAGGAGGCACCTAAGTCGTCTTCACTCTTAAAATCGGTCATCGTCTGCGCTGATAAGTGGTGTGCCAGCCCCCCCCATGTGAGCTCCTCCCAGCAAATGTTTCCCTATGTTAGCAGATTCTTCAAAGTATTATAGATTGGATGGTAAATTCTTAGTTTTGAGGGTGTATTTGTGTTCAGTTTGATACATCTCCCTTCTCGGCTGCCTTCGGTGCAAGCATATACTCTTCTCCATACTTTTGCTCTTACACTACTAACATGTTAGCTCAAAATACTAGACACTAACTAATAGTTAGCTACCATGTATAGCAACTAACATGTCAGCGTTAGGGAGTACACGTAGTAAATCTGGCTAACATGTTTGGAGTTAGACCGTTTTTAACTATTCATCTTGAAGGCGCTAACTAAAAAGGGCTGAATCTCTTTCCACTTGTTGTAAGCTAACCAACGATAAACTAGATCACTCTGACTACGGCGTGGTGCGTACATGGATTATGGATTCGACAACGCGTGAGAGTCCTCTTTAGGAGCCATTACTTTGACTTGCTACTGATAGAGCAGCAAACATACACACGGAATTGCAAACAGCACTTACAGTGGATTATTATGTTGTGAAAATCACTAATATCTTTGCGGAGTACACTAGCATCGGTACAGGATGCCTTTGCTAGACCATTTTTGAGGAAAAAATGTTTTGATCTTATTGGATCATTCTTCACAATCTGACTAAGCCGGAAACACCGCCTCTAGCGCCCTGCCCACCGCGTTTCCGTCCGACGTAATTTTCGTGTAGAGCCACCACACGACGTTGCCGTGGCCAGCCGAAGCTGCACTTGACAGGGCGGCGCCAGTCCAGTTCACTCGAAGACCCATTTTGTCCCGCAATAATACGTCCAAAGAGCTGTTGTCTTGGTCATAGAATAGCTGAAGAATTTCCATGGCCCCAGCTTCAGCCGCGGCCATCACCACGTCCATGATAACTCTGCAGCCTTGGAACTTGTCGGCGAATCAGCGAGCCATCTCGAGATTGTTCTTCTTGACGATGAACAACATCGAAAAAGTGAACTGGTGTTGGCGGTAGTGCTTGTCCGTTCGGATGAATTTCCGGATAGTAAATGGCCCAACTGGAAATCTTGTGTCAAAATTAGCGAAAACTGCGCTGCTGCCCCAAATGCGGTCGAGCAGCTTGATGGAGGCCAGCTTGCACGCCTCGGAATGCGAGAGCTCCACCGACGAGTCCAGGAAGAGCGAGACGCTGCTGATCACGTGCGGCAGGTTGGAGAAGCCGCCCTTGGAGCGGAAGAGCAGCTCTACGGCCAGTAGCGGCGCCACCATTGTTGACCACTAGTCAGAAAATACGATAAATTATTTTTTATTGGGGAAGTTGCAATTTGGTCAGGTGTTTGGAATTTGCAATTCGGTCAGGTGTTTGCTAATCAGTTCGAAAGTTAGAATTGGCACGCCAGATCTGAAGGACGGACACCAACTGAGGGGGCCAATTCTTCCAAGGTGCTTGTGCGTCTGGTGCTCCACATCGTGCTCTGTTAGTTCGGGGCTCCCGAACTACCTCCCGGATCAGGAGGTAGTCCTTGCGCTAACCGCTAACCTAGACAAAGCCAAATGACGGGCCCTACGAGTCGCTACATGCCATGAACTTACAATTTACAGGGCCTCTCTGAGGACCCACGAGCAAGCACAGATCTGCCTATTACCCCAACGTTTTGACGGCCGGTTGGTCATTTGGAGAGCAAGTCCCACGGTTCTGCTGTATGATGTTACGTTTGCTAGCCGAGAGCAAACGTGCAGCGGACACAGTCCAGCATGGTGCTCAGTACCAAGCTGGAACGTTCTAACTCTTAAACTTAGGACAGTCTAAATTCTAACTTTCGGAAGTCCTAGCAAACACCTGACCGAATTGCAAATTCCAAGCCAAACTCCTGACCAAATTGCAATTTCCCATATTTTATTTTACTGTAACAAAACAAAACATAATTTACCGTGTAAAAACATTTTTCATCTGCGTTTTATCTATGTTTTCACTGCGATGGCTCCGAGATGTGAAGAAGGGTTGGGACAGAGGTTTTGGAGCACTGACCAGCAGGTTAGCACTTGCTTTTGCGAAAACAAACTCGGTCACCTAGCGGGCCGAACTGGCAAACGCTTTAATCTTGCCCAAGCTGAGATTTGTGGCCAAACACGCGTGGCCAACTAAGAAGATCCTCATCGAAACTAGCAGCCGGATACGGAACTTTGTCTGGAGAAGTTCATTTGCAAAACCAGTCGGGAAAGTAAAAGGATGGCTAGGTGGAATAGCAGCGGAACTTCCCCAAACGGAAGGAGGTTTCAACTTGCCTTCGAAACAGAACTTATTGCTATGAGTGCCAAAATGACGGAGATATGGGCGCTCTCGTGCAGCCCCATCGTGCGAATAGCTGGAGCTATACTTAGGCGAGCAGAATTGGCTGGTTCGACTCCTCTGGTCCCCGAAGTAACCAAAATTCCACCGAACGCAGCAAGACACTTCGCGAAAAGCCTCCCCTCACTGGAGCAGGCTATACGACAAGACATCTACATGCTTGCGCAGGCGCAACTGGACACGGGCATGGCAGCCCAAAGCCTGGGTGGCAGACGTCAGCAGATCTAGATCGTGCCGAGTTGCTGGTCTTTTGATCGGCTCGGCTGTAAGGATTCGTTTAAGTAATCCAATATACCTCATCATCATCAAAGATAATACTAAAGCTTTGCTAAAAAAAGTACACGCACACTTCGAATGCACTGAAGTACCAGATTATGCGACCCAAAATTGAGAGTGAGCCGCCCTACTTATTTTCACCCCACAGCCCAGAAGAGGACGATGACCTGGAGGTTGTATTTACCATACAAATAATGGAGCACGACCAGATCGTTATTGCGAAATCTGCTCGACGATGGGGTATTTACCTTACTACGAACAATGGAGCGCGATGAGATCATATATATAGAATCAAGATCGAGGTGCCATTGTTTACGCCATAGTGCTGCAGTTTGAATGGACAGTAGATGTACATGTACGTACGGTATTGATCACGGCGAGGTATTATGGTACTGTAGTAATCAATCGAAGTTTACTGTTAACTCGTTTTTGTTTTCATCATTTGGATTCTGGACTACGTTTGAAGAGTGTAGATCACTTCTTCCCTAAGCGCAAGGCGCACTAAACGTTTACTTAGTACAGTACAATACAATACAATATTTGGGTTCTACTAGGACCAAGAAATGAGATTGATTTATGAGCCCAATATTTTCCTTTAAGCCTTCTAGAGCTACGACATTTGCGATGCGTTGGTACTGACTACTAGGCTATGAAACTACAGCATAGTACTTAGCATGAAGCAACGAAAGTCTTTTTTTCATTGATTAATTCGTCCCAAACCTAAAGGCCAAGGTTGGAAATCGTGTAGAATATAAGATCCAGGACACCAGACAACACTCCAATTCAGCAGAACCGTCATCTCAGGCTAGGTTCACCAGGCTAGTCCGCAAAAGTGGGGTCACGGGCCGCAATCCAGAGGCGAATTGCACTTGGGGGGCTCATTCTCGTCGCTCTCTGTGTCGCGTCCGACCATTGCACATTACACTGGAAATGTAAGATCAGGAAGATCTCAAAAGCACCTTTCCTAGCTGCACCAATGAGAGCATCTTCAGTACATCCCACTGCATTGTGCTCATGTAGCCATTCCACAACTCGAAAATGGCCGTTAGCCGCAGGAGCGTCCATCGCGCCCGTCGTGCAACCTTCGCTTCGGTCTCCAGATGACCGTTAACTGCGGATGAGTGGATCGCAACACTCGCCTCTCCACCCAAACAAGCCAGGTTGTTGGCGTTGTGACTATTGCGGAAGTCACGCTCGATGACCCAACGCACTATGTGGATGTGTCTCTTGTTCGCAGCAACCGTGAGCAATCCCCCAGTGCCGTCAATTCGACGCAGCTGATCCAGCCACTGCAGCACTTCCAGGTGTCCATTGGCAGCAGCATGGTGTTCGACGAATAAATCGTCCCCTTCATCGTGCCACCAATGAGCCCCATTCTTGATCAACCACTCGGCCATGATAACGTCGCCCTTATCCACGGCGGCGTTCAGAGCATAGTCCAAATCTTGGTGAAGACGCGGCCTCTTGCTCCGCAGCCACCACGCCACGTCGCTCCGGCGATTCGAGATGGCACTTTCAATGAGATCAGCGGATCACTCGACTCGGAGCCCCATACCTCCAGAACCTTGCACTGCGTCTCCCCCCGAGCTTATATCAATCTCCAGTAAAAACTCGATAATGTCCCTCGAATCCTCCCTGACCGCTATCTTCCCCACTTCTTCAGGCACAGTGTAGCCCTGGAACCTCGCGCTCAGCCACTTGACCATCTCCAGGCTCTTCTGCTTCACCGCCTCCTCCATGGACAGAGCGAACTGGTATTGGCGGTAAAACTTGTCGGTGCGGATGAATTTACGGAGTGTGAAAGTTTTATCCGAAGCTTCCGAAGTTGTGGGAGTTTTATCCACGAAAGCCTCACTGCTGTCCCAAATGCGATCCAGAAGCTTGAGAGACCCCAGTCTGCACGCCTTGCGGAGAGGCAGCTCCACCGCAGAGTCCAGATAGAGCGACATGGCGGTGAAGACGCGCGAGAGGCCAACGAAAGCCTCCTTGGACTCGAACAGCAGCGCCGCCGCCAGCATCGGCGCAACCTGGTAGTGTATCATTATCAGGTTCCACACCAAATTGTTTTGTGACAGGAAAACTAAACTGGACTAAAATTCGAACGCCATGTGGTCCACATGGATGTAGCCATGATGCAGATTTAATCCATTTGTCGAGAAACGATGACGATGACCTCCGTTGCTGGCTGTGACGCGTGAACATTGCAGTGAAGAACGAGGACATGATGATGGTCGAGTGGGTCCATCAAACCTATGCATTTGGTCCAAGATATGTGCCTGATGCGATGAAGGTAGCGGTAAACACGGGTCGCATTGACATTTTGAACTGGATGTACGAACATGGCTACTCTGACCAACTAGTTGGCGTGGACAATCTGGAAGTCTTCGAGTGGCTTCTCGAGCGGAATATGGTGAAGGTCGGCCGCTCTGTTGCGTGGTTTGTTTCGCAGGGGACGTCTCGAGCTGGCGAAGCATCTCTACAACCATTATCGGCACAGACGCGTGCGACCCCACCCATTTTTTTTCGCATTCCGATCCCCCCTCGGACGACTCGACCTGGATCACGGCGCGTACAATGCGGCGGAAGGGCATCTGGATTGCGTTCAGTGGCTCTACGAAACCTTCGCTGATGCAGAAGACATCGATCTATTCAAGAGTATAACGCGACAGGAGTGGGAGGACCCGGGCGAGATCCATGTGATGGACACGGCTGCCAAGTATGGTCATCTCGGCGTTATCAAGTATTTGCATCAGATTTCTGTGCTGTTCAAAGAGAATGACCAGAAGAAGCGCAAGAGAGGCGGGACAATGAGCGGTACAGGTCCAACATGCTCGACCGCAGCGATAGATTTGGCTGCTGGTAATAATTACCTGCAAGTGGTGGAATGGCTACATCAAAATCGGAAGGAGGGCTTCACGGAACAAGCAGTGCACCTCGCAGCAATCAACGGACATTTGGAGATGGTGCAATGGCTACAAGAACACCGAGCTCATGAATTTAAAGCTGGCACCATGGACCTCGCTGCTTAGAACGGACGCCTCGACGTGGTGAAATGGCTACACGATCAAAAGGCGAGCTGTACGACGCAAGTGATGGATGGAGCTGCTGGAGAGGGCTATTCGGAGGTTGTGAAGTGGCTTCATGAGCATCGGACTAAAGGCTGCACTGCTGACGCTATGGACGCAGCAGCGCGTGGTGGGAACTTGACTGTTGTAAAGTGGCTACATAGTAATCGATCGGAAGGCTGCACGACCGCTGCTATGGATGCAACAGCGGAAAAAAGTCACACCGACAGCGTCCAGTGGCCCCATTTCAACCGTAATGAGGGGTGTACGACTGCTGCAATGGATGCGGCAGCGACGGAAAACAATTTCGATTTAGTGCTGTTCCTGCATTGTTGTCGCCGGGAAGGTCCCACACGAACAGCTTTTGTGAACACCGACGACGCGCTCACGAAAAATATATACGAATGGCTGGCCGAACATTACCCTGGCCTCGAACCGCCACAGAACTAATTGTGAAGAAGAAAATAGACTTTTTGATAAGAGGTCTCAGTATTTTTTTCTTGATAGTGGCCAGATTCGTTTAAGATAGATTGGTGAATATGCGGCGATTGCGTGAGATAGTATGTGGGGCGCTGCTATCTGCAGGATGTTGCCAGCAATAGCCCCGTAAAAATGGAAGAAAAAAAAACAATGGGGTAATATGCTTGGAGTTTATGTCAGTTTTTTATTGTAGTGGTAGTTCAATACAGACAATTTGATGAACACTCAAACACAGATAAGTAGCGAAATCTAGCGAGCTTGCAAGGTCGAACTCACGGTTTGTGAAAGTTTTAATGGCGCAGCCCCAATTCGATATGGCAAGATTGCGTGAATATCACGAGCTCTGCTAGTGGCAACTGGTATCACGATCATTCGCCGATTCCAGTCCTCTTTGATCATTTGCTCACTTGCGCTTGAGCGCGAAGAGCGAGTATGGCTTCGTCTAGTAAGTCAACTGGGCGATACGCCTGCTCTGTTCTGCTCCTGGTTGCGTGTGCATTCAATCTACTGGTATCTCGCTGCGGAGCTTCAGATGTCACCTCCTACTCGACGACTGAACAAGTTCAGAGAACGGATCTAACTATCGTCCAGGTTAAGAGGAACCTGAGGGCGTATTTCGAAGAAACCGAGCGTCTGGACGATGAAGACCTGGAAAACCGAGTCACTCTATCCGGCATTGAAAAGCTGAAAGGTCTGGCCGAGGCGATTCGCCGTTCAGCCAATTGTAGACGGGGCGGGGAAGATCTCTGCAGTCACACAGAATCTCGTCAAGAAAAAATGCACCGAAGAGAAAGTGTCCCAGCTCTTCTCCAAGTTTAAACTTTTCGACGTCTCTGACAGGTCGAAGCTTCTTGATTTGAGAAATGGGCGAGCGCGGTGGCCGCACTATACAAGAAGAACCCTGAAGGTGCTGAAATGGCTATCGCGTCGACTTTGACAGCTAAACTGAGCGACGAAGCGCTGTCTAGTGCGGTGAAGGAAGTGCCGAGTACGACGACTATTGCGGCTAGATTAGAGAGACACAGATGAAGAACTGGCTGGCCAGTGGAGTAACCGCGGACTACGTGTTCCGGGTGCTGAAACTCGAGAAGGAGAAACTCAGTCTTCTGTGGAGTCCACTGTTGAAAACGTGGGTGTCGTACGTGAAGATGCTACCAGAAAAGCCGAACCCGTACGAGCTCTTGCTGGCGAAGATGAAGACACAGTATACTGACGACGCGGCTCTAACTGCACTCGCTTCGGCCCAGGCAACCGAAAGGGTGGCTCCTCTTGCTCGAAAAGTGGAGGAAGTCCAGCTCGACAAGTGGATGCGCAAGGCTCTATCAGCTGACGACGCTTTCAAGCTTCTAAAACCCAATAGCGCGGACGAAAACATCCTCAACAATCCTTGGGTCTCGTACGTCACGAAGCTGGACGAGACGAATGCCGATGAGCAAATGTTCGTGATACTGAAGAGAAGCTACAGCGAGCAAGACTTGGCTCTGATACTAGCGCGGTCGAAAGGGTTCTTGAGGGGAGATGTTGCCAAGAGGATGGAGGGGGTGCAACTGCAATTATGGCTGAAGGAGGGGAAAACTCTCGACGACATCTTCACTCTACTGAAGCTGGACAAACAAGGCGACAAACTGTTCGAGGTCCCCGCAGTGGTAGCATGGAGTTCGTACGCGAATTTGCTGGATGGAAGCCCTGGCAAGTCGATGCTTTCAACTCTAACAGCATACTTTGACGACTACACTATAGCGAAAATGCTTGCTGCGGCGAGGGTGGACGACGAGGTGAAGATCATCACGACCAAACTGGAAGACCCGCATCTTTCACGTTGGAAAAGTGACGGCAAATCTGCCGATGACATTTTTACGCTCTTCAAGCTTGGAGATGAGGTCGACGATGTTCTGGCGAATCCATTGTTGCCTACGTGCATGGCGTACGCTGACAAGCTGAAGGAAAATCCGTTCTCGTTACTGCTGGCGAAGCTCAAAAGGTCCCCAGACACGGACGACAAGCTCGCAAAAAAGAGTCTTACAGCGACGGACGGTGACACTTCAGGCATGATTGCTCTCAATTTGATCGTATCCCAGATCGAACACTGGCGGAAAAAGTCCGCAAGTGATGTGTTTAAGCTGTTGAAGCTAGAAAACGCGGAAGCTTTCCTTTTGAGGCACCCGAGAGTGAGGACTTGGATGGCCTATGTGACGGAGCAGCACCCTAAGGACGCAGACGTCGTGATACTATCAGTGTTAAAGCCATACTATTCTGATGAAGCACTGGGAGGGCGCTCTACTGGCAATCTCAAGGACGTTAACGCAAAACTCGAGCGGATTATGCTGGACAAGTGGGTTCATGAAGGAAAAACTGCGGACGATGCTTTCGACTTTTTACTGAAAAGATATCACAGGTTCATCTTCGAAGTTCCGGCGGTAAACACCTGGGTCTCTTATGTTACCAAGTTGGAAAAGGAGAACCCCTACCAAACCATGATCGCGGTCCTAAGAGGACGCTTCGGTGACAAAAAGCTCGACGATATGCTGGTTGCGGCAATCGACAAGATACACGCCAAGGCAGTTGCTGAGAGGCTGAGGGGAGAGCTTTGGTTAAGCCAAGAACGAACTGCCGATGATGTGTTCGAACTGCTGTATCTTAATGACTGGCGGCGGAACCTTTTCGACAGGCCTCATTTCAGTACGTGGGTCTCGTACGTCGTTAGGCTGGATAAGGAGAACGCGGACGACGTGATGTTCTCGATTGTGAAGTCTCACAACAACGACAAAGATCTAGCGATGATGCTCACGACGTCGAAGAACGACCAAGTTGTGAAAATAATTGCTGCCAAACTGAAGGGTCAATGATGACAATAGTTTTCAACTTTTGTAAGTTTGATAATCTAAGATTCCAAACTTGTCGCTAATATTTTTTAGTTTTTTTAAATTAGCGACAAGTTTGGAATCTTAGATTATCAAACTTATTTTTTTCTTATTGAAATAAGTGAGGCGCCTTAGCTAGATGGAGCTACATGAAATGTGTCACGGCGCTTCCTTCAACAGTCTTCTTATCAAAACTGCATCGATTACGCCCCAAATGTCACAACATTTAAAAAAGAGTGACAAGTGATATGGTATTGCCGCTTGCAAATACTTTGCCTTTTAAAATAGACCTCTAAAATAGACCACGCCTGTCTCTTAATATGAGTGGACACGAGATAGGCGAAGGATGATTTAGCTTTATACTTTGGTGGGGGCCGCTTTTAGGCCTAGAAACTCGGTTTGGCCCGTCTAGAATGGCATTTCTGCGTTTCCAAGTCGTAGCAAAGCGTGAAACAGACCCCAACCTTGCATCTTAGACCTGTACTGGCGAGATATATAAATCAGTCCTAGGTCTCAATTAAGAGCTTGCTAGACGGAAATCGAGATTATTAACGAGATAATAAGCATGCGTTGGCCAAAATATCTGCAAACGGCAATAGCACTTAGAGAGGAAGTACGGCTCCCGATGCCGCCGGAAAATCGAAACTGAGATTGAGTTTAGCACATTCGTCCTATTCCTCCTAAGCAATTCTAGTCCTTGGTGCCTGTAACTTCAACATCTAACTTCAAGCACATCGCTTCCTACATCTTTAACTTCATCCAGATGACTGCGTTGCACGCGGGTCACACGGCTTACTGCAGCTTGATCTCCACAAAGTTGGCAGATCGTTACCCATTTTCGCGCTCTATGTGTTTGTAGTCGATAATATCGTGACACCAAAGAACTAGGGGTCGTACTGCGCCGTCCGTGGATAATGCTCTCGGATCCACGTCGCCAGCTCTGGACTGGAGCTTTCAAGCGCCGAAAACCACACGTCCTCCGTACACTGCCAACGACACTGCGATTGCAGAAATATCGCCACCTCAAAGTTCCCCTTTTCCGCAGCACCAGCAATCGCCCCTCGTGAGTATCCTTCGGAGCGGTGCGCGTGGAGCCACTGGACCACTCCAAGATGACCTTGTTTCGCCGCGCTATCCATTGCTTTAACCGTGCAGCCTTCGGTACGACTACGGTGTAGCCATTTTACAACATCCAAATGACCCCCTTCAGCTGCTTCATCCATAGCATCAGTCGTACATCCCTCGAATCGGTAGTCACTTAGCCATTCTACGACGGCAAGATGTCCGTTGCTTGCTGCTGTATCCATGGCCCTAGTCGTACAACCATTCAAGCCATCGTGGAGAAAGTCGACAACTAGGAGATGACCATTCCTCGCAGCGCCATCCATAGCCTCAGTGGTGCATCCTTCCTCTCGATTCGCACTCAACCACTGCACCACGTCCAAGTGGCCGTTCGTAGCTGCGACGTCCATGGCACTCGTAGAACAACCTTCACTTCGGTGTTGGTGAAGCCATTGCACGACCGCCAAGTGGCCATTCCCAGCCGCTCCATCCATGGCAGCTTTCGTGTATTTCGGGCTGTTAGGCTGATCAGCTACCTGGCCTCTTTTGCGCTTTCTAGGCGTTGAGGTCAAGGACACGGACGCTTCCAGTAAATGCAAATAGTGCAGCACATGTAGTTGTCCATTGGTAGCAGCAGCATCTGTCACCGTCGATCCACTAGGATCTGTTTCAAAGAGTTTGATGTCCGGGTCGTTCCCATACTCCGCACAGAGCCACTTCACGACGTCGAGATGTCCGTTTGCCGCTACCAGCGCCATGGTCTTCCCAGAAACAACAGCGGCGTCAACCTTCTCACCACACACTCTCGAAATATTCTAGAGCTGGCGGATTTGCTCCATGACCGCCTGGGTGCGCTGAAGACTATCCATGGCATTTGAGCCTGAGCACGGAGATACTTTGCAACTTGGAGATGCCCATTCACAGCTGCAGCGTGGATAGCAAGACTGGCCTCCCCACCCAGACCAGTGAGTTTAACATGGCTTCTACGCGGCTGAGCGTGGTATGGCACGTAGCCTGCGGTACCGCGGGCAGTGTCGGTGTCACGATCAATCAGCCAGCGAACGACATTGAGGTGCCCCCCTGCTGCCGCTACCGCCACCAGGCCAACGTACACGACAAAATTGGTATTTTTGAAGATCCACTCCAGCACATCCAGGTCCCCAGTGGCGGAAGCGTGGTGCAGTGGGTGAAGGTCCCCATCGTGCTGAGCCCACGGCGTCGAATGGCCTAACAACCACTCGGCCAACACGATGTCGCCATTGATTATCACTGCATCCAAAGCAGCGGTCCTAGCCCGCACATCTATATAGCCGCATTTGAACTGTAGCCACCAGATAACGCGCCCGTGACCATTTTGTGCCGCCGCCAGAGCGTGTTGGCTAGTCCATTCGACTTTAAGCCCAACGCCGGCGTCTCGGATGCTTGGATCGGCCGAGCTGTTGTCATAGTCACGGAAGAGCCGAAGAATCTCAATAGACCCAACGCGTGCAGCTTCCGTAACCACGCTCTCTTTCACAGTGAACCCCTGGAATCTCTCTGCTAACCACGTGACCATCTCCACGTTCTTGAGGCGAGTTGCCTCCGTCAGAGACTTCGTGAACTGGAACTGCCGATAGTGTGGGTCTGTGCGAATGTATTTGCGCAGCGTCCAGGCTTCATTGTAGTCGAAATTGTTGACAAACTTCTCGCTGGCGCCCCACATGCGCTCCAGAAGCTCGAGAGAGCCGCGTTGGCATGCTTTGTGGAGGGGAAGCTCCACCGATAAATCCAGAAACAGCGACACGAGGTTGATCACGAAGGGGAGGTCGGTGAAAGCCCCCTTGGAGCGAAACAGCAGGTCCACCACAACGAGAGGCACGGGCTCGTCTTCCATCATGGAGAGATCGTTTTGCAAATTGACGAGACCTCTACCGTTCTCTATGGGATGGGGCTTGTCTGAGGAACTCGCCTGAAAACGAGAAGGTTGCTTCATGAACAAAACGGCACTTAGGGCCTGGTCGGGGAACGCTCGTCTCGGCTTTCGATCGTCTTAGACGATGTGGCAACATTTTTTCTTATTTTTGATTGGCCAGTTATTAGCTCGATCGGCTAGGTTCATCGTCTCCAGACTGACCAACTAAACCACCAGTCTCACTTTGGAGACGAGCATCTTCACTGCGTTTCGATGGTGCAGAGCGAAAGCATCGTTGCTGCAGTTGCTGCGGCCACGGGGGCTCTCGCGACGGCGGTCCACACCACTGTGTGGGCAATTTCGAACCCAAAGCAGAACATCCTTACCCTGACACCGCTAGAGTTTGAGGCTATGCTTTACGACGCGGTCTACGACGAGTGGTTTCGACAGAATCTCAGGTGTAGCCAAGCTACGTTTCTACGGCTTTGTGGTGTTCTGCGTCAGGAGCTGAAAGATTTTGAGCTAGATCGATTTATGAAGGAGCACTCTTTTGAGGAGAAGGTTGCTTGAGCAGTAAGGGTGCCTTCCATGGCTGCGAGTTCTCGAGTGTGATGGTGCTGAGTCGAGCAGCTTGACACACCAAAACTAAGACGGTCTCCAGCCAACCGACCACATCGGCTTGGTTCACCTTAGGCGTAGGCTTACCGGAGACGAGCGAGACTGAGACGATCATTCCCCGACCAGGCCCTTAGCACATGGCTCTGTTCAACTGATCTTCTTGAGCATTTAATGTTGTACGACGGTCGTGCGAACGGCGCTCCATCACACGGTACAAAGCGACATCTTCGCCAGGGTATCATAATTTGGAACGTTTACAGTACTCTCCATAACTGCTGGTAATAGCGATACTTGCTGTTTCAAATATTAGCATTTAAATCGGAATAAACGGGGTACAATATAAATGAGAGTCACGACTCTGATTGGCTGCAACCTCAAACTTCACTTCCCCATGGCGTCTCCCGCTCCGACCCCACTGCTGGTGGTGACGCTTCTCTTCCGGTCCAAGCCCGACTTCGGCTGCCTACCGCATGTGGTGAACTCCGTGTCCGCGTACCTCGACTCCTCCGTCCAGCTGCCCATTGTGAAGGCCTGCACGTTCGGGTCCATCCCCCTATTGGATCGAATCTGGAACAGTTCGATTGACCCCGTGAATGGGCAATACGCGTCCTGGTCCATTCGGAAACTATTACGCACAGAGAGGAGGTACCGCGCCTGCCAGTTCACGTATTCCATGTTGGAGGCAATAGAGCGTCGAGACTTCGAGATGGTCACGTGGTTGATGGAGCATTTTCCCGGTGAAACAGTGTGGGGCACAGTGGTGACCAAAGCGGCGGAGGTGGGGGCGCTGGATATTCTGCAGTACCTGAAGGAGAAAGATGAGGGCGGTGAGCTACCAAACTACGATTCGGACAGGGACAAGGAGATGGAGGAGGTGACTCCTAAACGAGCCATCGGCTGGGGCGAGTGCGACGCTGCCAAAGCGGCTGCGGCTGGTCACAAGGACGTCGTCAAGTGGCTGTACGAACACGCGGGAAGTGATGAAAGAGACGACGGCGAGACGTTCAAGGCTGCGGTGGGTTCCGGCGACGTGGAGTTGGTCAAGTGGCTGATGGCGAAACTTGACGATGTGCCTGAAAAGGGGATGCAGGACGCCGCTGCTAATGGACACTCGGAGATGGTGCGGTGGATGGACGAAGAGTGTTTCGGGTCTCACTTTGACACGGGTAGACTCATTCGAGCGGCGGAGAAAGGTCATGTCGATATCGTTCGCTGGCTTGTCGAGCGAGAATTTGATAGCGACGATGAAGATGAAGTTGGGGAGGATGAGGACGAAGACGAAGGGATGAAGACTGCAAGTGAGTCTGAAGATGAAGAGGAAGACTATTCCGGCATGACGCAGTTGGATTTACTAGCCAGTCTTGGCCCAATCAGGGTTACGAGTGTTGGTGGAGAAGCTACCCTCGCAATTGAGGCTGCTTTGCTCAATGGTCATCATGACATTGCCCAGTACCTCTTTTCTCGCGCGGAAAAGCCGCTGAAGCCCTCTTTCAACGCGAAAGAGCGCGTGAGACGGTGGAAACTGATCGAGTGGTTACATCGTGACATCGGCCCCGCTAATATCAGTGACAAGCCCCGAAGTGGAATCATGCTGGAGCTGGTGATCAACGGTCGACTAGATGCAGTGAAGTGGTTCTACACAGAGTACTCGAAGAACCTGGCGATCAACTTGTTTTGGAACTATGATGAGGATGAGGACACATACTTCAGCGTACTTGATGCTGCAGCAGAACACGGACACTTGGGTATCGTGAAGTATCTGGATAAGATGTGTAAACTGGTGACACCTGAAGAGAAAGCCAAGCGTGAGGAGCTCTCTAACATTGACTACAGTGATCCTGATTGGGAGTTTGAGGTGGAACAGTCGAGCGTGCCAGGATGCACGACTGCTGCCATGGACAAAGCCGCCAGCAACGGACACTTGGACGTAGTTTGCTACCTTCACAACAACAGGACTGAAGGCTGCACGACGGAGGCGATGGATGCAGCTGCTAGCCATGGACATCTCGACGTCGTGTGCTGGCTTCACAATCACCGAATGGAAGGTTGTACAGAGGATGCGATGGATGAGGCAGCACTTGGAGGCTATCTCTCTGTGGTTCAGTGGCTTCACAGAAACCGAAAAGAAGGCTGTTCATCTGTCGCGATGGACTTTGCAGCGATGCGGGGGCACCTGGATGTGGTTCAATGGCTGCATGACCACAGATCCGAAGGCTGTACTACGCATGCCATGGTTCATGCAGCGAGGCAAGGACACCTACACGTCGTCGAGTGGTTGCATGATAATCGGAGCGAAGGCTGCACTTCTGAGGCTATGGATCTCGCTGCAAGGGGAGGACACCTACACGTCGTCAAATGGCTTCATGAACACCGGGATGAAGGCTGCACGACAGACGCAATGGATGGGGCGGCAGCCTCTGGCCACCTCGAAGTCGTCAAGTGGCTACACAGCAATCGGTCAGAAGGTAGCACGACCAGCGCCATGGACGATGCTGCGAGGAATGGCCACTTATCAGTTGTTCGGTGGCTCCATGAGAATCGTCGTGAGGGTTGCACAGCGCTGGCAATAGGCAACGCAGCTCTTGGCCGACACTTCGAGGTCATGCTGCTGCTGCACCGGGTGCGAGATGAAGGTTGCAAGGTAGTAATGACGAAAGACGATCTGCTCATGTCCGAGATCTTCCAGTGGCTGATGGAACACTACCGCGATGCGATGTTTGCGGGGTTACAGGCAGCGTAGATTTCATGTGGTAGTCTAGGATGCATGTACCGTACTCACAAAATAAATGGGTTGCCACGTTCTTGGTGTAAACCTCACTCCATGCCTGCGCCGAAACATACCTACACACTACCGTACTGACAAACAAATAACGCAGGCAACAAGATAACGCGAGACAATACCCATTACGTCGTGTTAGGATTTATATCTCAGAGGTCTACAGTACCCCGTTTGGAGTCATGTTGACGGTCGCTCGTAATCATCAATTGCCCCAGAAGAAGAAGAAAAGGTTGATTAACTAGATACAGTAATCTGCCCGAGTAAGGAACGCCTGATATATATAAAGACGCAGAATATATCAATTGATGTTAAGTCGAGTACACTTTTTCAATGTACTGATTTAGTTATTTCAAAATGAACTGAAGAGCAGCTTTACCTACGAGTCCGGAATGATTCCAACAGTGGCGTATGGTCGAAGCACTAACCTTTGACCAGGCATCCTCGCACCACAACAGCGCTGTCAAATGGGTGGAGTGGGGGAGGAGGTCGGCTTGTGGGGCGAGGTGCAAAAGCAAAAGTGCGAGTCTACCACTACGGTACATGTAGTTTGAAGTCTAGTAAGATCGCTAAAAGTAGTGAGTTCCAGCACAAAACCCAGTCAGTTTTTTTTCTCCCCGTAATTTACCAACGAGAACAATCGTAGAACGTTCTCCGCGAAAGAGGGAAAAGGAGGTAATTTTCGACGATGGAACCAATAAGTACCTTCTGGTGCGAAGGAGGTCTCCTCCTCACCTACAAGCACCACATATAGCAACACCAACCTCACACGCATCAAATGATCATTTCAACGACAACACCTCTCGACTGCTGAGAGTGAAAGGACGCATCCGATGGAGCTTTCAAGTCCTCTCGGTATTGGAATAGGGCTCTTTTGTGACACCGCTTCATCACGCCTTCGTTTCCCGCTTAGGTACGGTACCAAAATCTCTCCCTCCCCTTCTCTCTCATTCGAGAATCTGCCGCCTGGTGGAAAGATGGTCAAGCTTTTCTGTGCTATCGTTGGCGTGGCTGGAAGCGCGTTCTCGGTGCGAGTGGACGAGAGTGACTCGGTGGATGACTTGAAGGACGCGATTAAGGCGAGGAAGCCCGACACGATCAAGGGAGAAGCAGACAAGCTGCAGCTCTTCCTGGCGAAGAAGGACGGCGCGTGGCTGAAAGATGACGATCCTGCTACGCTGGAGTTGGAAGAAGGAAAGACGCATCAAGACATTCAAACGGTGATCGATGGCGAGAAGATGAAGGCTACGTGGACAATTGAGGACGTGTTGACAGCTAACAATATGACCAAACGGAAAGGGCGCGCTCCAAAGTCGAGACAAATCCACGTGCTGGTGGTGGTTCCGGAGGGGGCAGTTGGTTCAGCGAGCGAGACTTCCAGGATGGATCAAGTGGTCCAAGAGGTGCACGAAATTCATGCGCAAACTGTGCTGACCAAGCGCAAGACATATGTCCACTCGAAGGTGGGTTCGACCGAGTACAAGGAACTTCTGGACGCCTTCAACATTAAGGTGCAACCTGTGCGTAAAGCTGCTGCTAAGTGGGGTGAAGTCAAGGGGTTCACATGGGACATGAAACTCAGCGAGGAGAAGCAGAAAGATGAATATCGCGAGTATGTTGACAGCAACATTGGCGAGCTTCTCCAGGAGGAGAAGCTTTGTGTGTTCGGTGTGGAAAATACGACAGATATTCTCCGAGTTGTTGTCAACGGCTCCAACATTGAGCTCCGGGGTCGCACCGCTCTTCTCATACTCAGTGATATCGTCATGGAGAGCGCGGATTATGCGCTGGACTTGCCTGAAGTGAAGATGCTGATTGAAGTGAAGAAAAAGGTTGAAAGACAATCTGTCTTCCAGGCGATGTCAGAGCTAATTGCTCTGGCTCTGCTTGCCGACGACCCAGTGGTTGCACTGCTTACTGACTTCAACGGCGATTGGCGATTCTTCTGGGTCGCCGGGAAGGAAAACAATACCACTTGCGTCAACAAAGTGAACATTACGAATCCAGGTGAAGCTTTCGAGTTGATCAGGCAGCTACTGAAGCCTACGGATATCATGACCCCAGTGCTTCAAGACCCTGTGAAGCGCCAGAAGTTATCCCGGGTGTTGCCGTCCATCAGCGAGTCCAGTGAAAGTGGCGGGATTCGTGAGAGCATCGAACGATACTATGACATCGCCAGTTGTTTAGGCCCCGACTTGGACATGGCGCGTGCTGTGGCTAGACAGGTCACTCGATCTATTCCCACGTTAAGTTATTTCAGCTAATTCTTGCTTTGGCATGCTGCATTAATAATTTTTTTTTCTGATAAATATAAAGTTAATAATATACAAAGATGACTTACTCTCCTGAACAATACCAAGCTAACAAAGAGCGCATTAAGGCAGCTCAAAAGCGATACTACTTGAAGACGAGAGAAACTCGTATCGCTAAGCAGAAGGAGTACGAAGCGAGGAATCGTGAGCATATTCGTGCCCAAAAGCGTAAATCCTATGCAGCGAAGAAGCAGTGCGAACCTAACAGTGAAACCGAACTTAGCTAATTATTTAATTAATTTTTTTGAATTTTGTATCAGGGTAGATATAAAGGCGATCTATTCTGACATAAGATCCATAAATTATAAAGTCGATCTATCCTGATATTATATAGTCGGATATATATAGGAAATATGTTTGCATACGAGTTAGAAGGACTAAAGCGATTAAATATTCACCCAATCAAATGGGGGAGTAGCTATCGAGTCAAGATCCGGGGTAAAACCGGTAGAATGACATATATTAGCAATCTATCGCGCCCCAGCAATCAGAATTTGATTGCGAAACAGTACAAAGTTTCCATTGAAGATCTAAAAAAGCATATGTCGCCTGAGTATAAGGCTGATCCTAAGTATCGCTTTTATAACGGTAAGCAGATGGAATCTCATCTATATGAAGGTATCCAACCAGCTGAGTTCTACGACAAGCTTGAGAACGTACTTACCAGTCAAAAGAATGCCTTCAAGGTTAATATCGCTCTCGGCTACGACCTTGTGAGCTTAACCGATGATTTGACACAGTATTGGCATCCGAATATATCCAATACGAGTGTATTTAACACCCCTATTGCTATCAATAGCAAGGCTGACATCCGTAAGAAAGTAATCTCTGAGATCCGTTTAATGGAGTTGGCAAACAAGCTCAACTATCCAAGCTCAGGATACAAGCTCAAGTCTATCACTGGCTTTAGAATTTACATCTATCATCGCAACCATGCTCTTGGGGATAGTGATGCGGTCATCCCTAAGATTATTCGTGAAAACCATCACGTTATCAATTTCTCCAAGACTAATAACACATGTGTCTTCCATTGTATTGCCTGGCATTCAATTCAGGACCCTAAGAAGAACCTCGAAGAATTCAGGCTCAGGTAAAGGAGGCATGCAAACGCTACTGCTCTTTCAAGGGTGTTAAATATTCGTTGAACCTGTTTCGAAGCTTCAAGCCCATTGATCTACTCCAATCGATGACGTTGAGGAATGCTTCAAACTCAGTATTAATGTCTATACTATGGATATTGAGTCTGGGAACGTTGAATGCATTCGTCGCTCTGACAATGAGTATGAAACTATGAATATTCTATCGCATGAGAGACATGCTCTATATATCAAGAATGTTGATATGCTCCAAAGCAAGTATCAATGCAAGAAGTGTGAAATGGTCTTTGTCAGCTCCACGAAGCTCAAGGATCACTCTAAGAACCAATGCGAACGAGTAAATATTGAAAGCTTCCCAGCCCAGCCAACGATCTACCGACCTGCTCAGAACACGATACGATCACTGCAAACAAAATACTCCATCAAGGATGCTGATCACTATATCGATCATTTCATGGTGTATGACTTTGAGACCATTCTTAAGCCTACCGCTACTCAACACGGGGAGAATACTGTCTTTACTAACGAGCATATTCCTGTGTCAGTATCAATAGCCGATAGTCTAACTGATGAGGTACGTTGCTTTGTAAATGATGATCCAAAAGCATTGCTTACTGATATGTTAAAATATATTGGCGATGTATCCTTAAAGATTCGACAGTACAATGTCTCCAAGTATGAGTCTCTGTTACGAAAGATCATTAACGCTCACGGTCTGACGGGTATGGAGATCCCCGACACCCCTCTTGGTAAGACATACAAGATGTCTGACGTGGAGAGTTAAATTGGAGAAGGAAAATATTCCAGTTTCTTCGATTTCCATAACAAAATTGGATTCGCTAAGCAGAGATCAGATTATGGTAAAATCAAGCAGCAGCTTGATCAGGTACCAGTATTTGGCTTCAATTCTGGTCGATACGATATCAACTTGATTAAGAGCGACTTGTTCGCTGTGATTGGTACCAATAACATCAAATCTGTCATCAAGAATCCATCTTACTTGTGCATAGCAACTTGGAACATGAAGATACTTGATATCAGCAACTATGTTCCGGCTGGCACCAGCTATGACAAGTATTTGACGACCTATCTCGGTGGATGCAAGTGTGAGGACAAGATTAGCTGTGTTTGTGGGCTTGGTAAGGGTATTTTCCTGTACGAGTACATTACCAGTTTCAACGTCCTAAATGAAACTCAAGTCCCACCGAAATCAGCTTTTGACAGCAAGCTTCGTGGTACAAGCATCTCCAATGATGAGTACGAGCGTGTGAAGTTTGTCTGGGGGCACTTTGAAATGAAGTCAATCAAGGATCTACTCATCTTATACAACAATCTCGATGTAGTTCCATTCATCAAGGCTATCCAAGCTCAGCGTGAGTTGTTTAAACGTTTTGATCTGGATATGTTTGTCGATGGTGTGTCTCTACCTGGTCCATCGGAGAAAGTAATGTACCAGACTTGCTTCAAAAATCTACAATACCCCAGCAAGAAGCCTGCTAAAGCGTTCAAATTCCCAGCCAAGCGTATGGTTGGCTACAAGAATCAGGATGATAAGGCAAAGCGAGATTTTGGTATGACACTTGATCACTTGAATAGATTGCTAAAGCATCAGAAGTACCTGTGTGCTTTGTGCTACAGTCAGCTGACTTGCGAAACTGCCTCTGCTGATAGAATCAACAACAAGCTTGGCCACCTCGATGGGAACATCTTGATCAGCTGCATTTCGTGTAATACCGCTCGTAAGGATATGTCTCTCGGGGGTTTTCGATACAAGAAACTGCTCGAGTTCAATTCGAACAGATTGGTCTATTCGATTGACAAGGAGGAATCTGAGATATACGGTAAGATGAAGGCCAACATCGCCGGTGGACCATCCATTATCTTCAACCGCTACGCCAAGCGGAACGAGACAAAGATTCGCGGTGGTAAGCTCTGTAAAAAGATTATCGGTTATGATGCCAATGCCCTATATCTATGGGCCCTTGGTAATGAGATGCCGTGTGGTCGATTGACTACGATTGAGGCTTACCCTGGTATCATCGATGACATCAAGAACGACAAGATATTTGGCTTTCTCGAGTGTGATATTAGAACCCCAGAGCACCTGAAAGAGTATTTTAGTGAGATGACTCCCATTTTCAAGAATGCTCTGATAGACTGTACCGATGAGAGTGTCATTGGCAAGCATATGTTTGATTACAACCAGTCTCGCGAAGCAAATCGTTCTAAGCCTGCTCGTAAGTTGATTGGTAGCTACTTTGGTGAAAAGATCCTTATCTATGCACCGCTGCTCAAGTGGTACCTTTCTCATGGTATGGAGATCACCAAGACCTACAGCTTTATCAAGGCCAGCTCTCACACGGCATTCGCTCCTTTCATGGAAGCTGTGTCAAATGCTCGACGAGAGGGTGATGAAGGGACCTCAGGGGCGCAGTCCCTGGGAATCTCCGACTCCAAGCAACAGCTTGACGCTGATAAGTCTAAATCTATGATTGCGGAGATGATGAAACTTGTAGGCAACAGCGCATTCGGTCGATCTGGCATGGATATGAGCAAGCATAAGGAGGTCAAGTATGAGTCGGATCAGAAGGCAATTGAGGCAAAGATCGAACATTTCACGTTCCATGGTCTGGAGGAGCTAAACGATGCTTGTGAAATCACCATGAAGAAGAGACGAATTAAGAACAAGAACCCGATTCATCTATCGATTGCTATCTACCAGCTCGCCAAGCTGCGCATGCTCCAGTTTTATTACGATTGCATTGACTACTACTTCGATCGAAGCGATTCCCAGTATCAGGAGATGGATACCGATTCAGCGTATATTGCTTTCAGCTGTGAGAATCCTTTCAAGGATTGCATCAAGCCTGATCTACGCGACCATTTCAAGCAGTACAAGTATGACTGGTTCCCGCGCGACTATAACTCTGAGGTAGCTAAGTTTGATCGTCGTACCCCTGGTTTGTTCAAGGATGAATGGTCAGGTGATGCCAGATGCCATGGTCTCTCTATCGTCCAAGAACTATATTTGCTATCTGCCAGATGAGTCCTACAAGGTCAAGGTTTCAGCCAAGGGTGTGCAGCAGGGGCGAGGTCGAAATGAGGATGTACTCAATCCAAATGGTTTCGAGACTGTTGTACGGGATCGAATCACACTCCAAGGTACGAACAAAGGATTCAGACTATCGAAGGAATCTAAGTCAATCATCACATATACTCAAACGAAAACAGCTCTCAACTACTATTACGACAAGCGACAAGTTCTCTCAGACGGTATTGCGACTATCCCTCTACAAATTTAAGTACTACAATATATAAGTATTCGTAGAATACTCTTTAGTACCTACGGTACAATATATCATGTCCGAACGAAGTTCGAAGGGGCTTTGCCCCGCGAACAAGTTTGCCTGGGCGTCAGCCCTGTCTAAGCTGCTAACAAAACTCTATTATGACCCAAAAACAGGATTCATAGGGGCTCAAGCACTTTATCAGAAGGCTCACGAGTTAGATCCTAACATGACACTAAAATATGTAAAGGATTGGTATGCTACCCAATCAGATATTCAACGATTTCAGGAGCAGAAGAAGCGATTTGATGGGTTCAAGGTTGCTTCACATAGTCCCAACTCATGGCAGATAGATCTCGCGTTCTGGGACAAGAAACCAATATTGACTGCTATCAACATCAACTCTCGACTCCGTTATGCAAAAGCCTTGTCAAACAAGACTGCATCAAGTGTGTTAGCAGCGCTTAAAGCGTTTGTCCGCCTCCATAAGGTGGATATCATTACAAGCGATAATGGCAGCGAGTTCATGAACTCACAGACTCAAGAATTCTTCAAAAGCAAAAAAATTGAGCACTTCAACAACGAGCCTGGTGATCATCGGACGATGGGTAAAATCGAGAGATTCAATCGAACTATAAAGCAGAGACTAACCAAAATGTCTCCGAAGAGGCTCACACAGAAAATTATAGCTGATGTTATCGATAACTACAACAGCACATTTCATCGCTCGATTGGTATGACCCCGAACGAGGCAAGAGGTACAGTAATGATGGCGGATCTGAACCATAATCAAGCTGAAGCTGATAAGGTCGAGAACGCGTTTGATGTTGGGTCGAATGTACTGTATCGTCTCAAAAAGAAAACATTTGATAAGGAAGCTGCTCAGTGGAGCAAGGGTATTTACTCGGTTATCGGCATTGATGGTTATCGGGTTGAGATTCGTTCCAGAAATGGGCATACGCTCTACAAAGCCCCGAACGATTTAAAGATTGTGAAAGCAGATACTACAGATGCTACTATCAACCGTGGCGATATTCTCGAAGCTGAGAAGATATTAGCCCATAAAAATATGAATAATGGCAAATATAAATACCTAATCCGATGGGTAGTAGGCAGTGAGCCCGACTCATGGGAGCCTCAAGATAACCTTCGCTTTATCAATAAAAATAGGAGAAGCAAGCTTGAAGAAAATTATTTATCTCACATAGCCAATATATAGGCTATATATATAGACACCATATTCAATATGGCTTGCCAAACAACGACCAAGTCCAACAAACCTTGCTCGAGAGATGCTCTACCTTGTGGTTATTGTACTCAGCACTCAAAGGACTACAAGATTGAAATGTATAAGAAAGAACTCAAAAAGATGCATCAGTGAATGAGATTCTACAGCGATAAGGTCAATCAAATCAATCAGATGCTCAACGATATCTACAGGCTCGACTATATCAAGTATCATCTTCACCAACTCGACCCCAATCGTCCATATCGTTATGTATGCTCTGATCCGAAATACAAGGATCAGGTCGAAGATCTATTTGGTTTGCCTATAGATGAATGTAAAAACGCGTACGTCAGATTGCTCCAAAGGCGCAATTCGATCGTTCATAAATTTACTATGAAACTTTGGGAGTCGCGGGAAGATATACCTAACATTGA